AACCAATGTTGAAAAATAGTTTTTCAGCGAGCAATAATGGGTAAGTTCAGTAGCTCGTTTTTTTTCTCGAATTTCTCGAGTTGACTTTTTATGTTACAGCACTCTAAAATTGAAAACCAATTTAAAGCTTGCTTTAAAAAGAAGACTACGAAACTTTTGATTTTGAACGAGATTTGGGTATTCGCCCTGCCAAAAAGCAAGGGTGTTCCAACCGCTACTTGACTTTTATTTTCGGAATTAACTTTGTTCACAGAATTCGCACTTGAAAAAGTTACACATGTTTAAATTGCTTCCGGTGCATTTAGCGCAATGATAATACCCATGCTTGAGACGACTAAACCCAGTGCTTCGATTCCTGTCGGTACTTATTTTTTTTGCAAACAGAAAAATTTCGGCAATTTCAGACTATCGTCTGTCTGCTTATTTTTGTCAGTTTAGTTCCCGCAGAAAGGACTTTTTCGAAGGTTCCGATTCTTTTTTATAGCTCCATGTAAAGTTTCTATTGCTACAGGTAAGTTTGTTCCAGCATTGTTTTGGCTTTTTTGCAATAATATTTTTTTTGACAAAACGATTTTTTTTATTTCTCTTTCAGTTTTTGATTTGTCTTTTCATTTTGTAAATCGTGGTCATTCAGTTTGTTTTGTAAGTCGTGCGAAGCTCTAATTTGCCTCTGTGTAAAATATGCTTAATTGAGAAACTCGAATCCTGGATTATTTAGTGGAACTTCTCAAATTCATCGTTCGCCACAAGTTTTAAATACGAAACTCAAATGTTTTTGCTCTCGTTTTAGAATCCAATTGTTTGATTTGATAGTTCCAAAAAAAACATAAGCTCCCAAAGTTTTTTTTGAAATTTTTTCCACGATCAGAATGTTCAATTGTTTTAGGCGCAGTTGTTAAGAAAAATAAATGAAAGTTTCTTTAAAAATTTTGAATATCAGTATCATTTTATATATTTAAGGAAGCGTTTGTTCAACGATCCCTCTGAAGCACCTGAGGTGCGAGTCACGCGCCAAAAATTGTTTGTGAATGTTTTACTGACTATTTTATTTCTGAACTGGGCACTTAATAACTTCATGTAGGGTTTTTCGAGGTTACTTGTTGTAAACCGGTAGGCTTATGGCCGTCCTTTGTGTTTGATATTGTGCACGTTGAGCTCTACATGTCAAAAACTTGTGGTAAATTCAAATCTTGGCAGATCTTAGATTTAAAAATAGACTGCAGAAGTGTTGATTTCGAGCTAAATAACCTTCAAGTTTCAATCAACATCATACCATAACAAGGGTAGCTAGTTACTGTGCAAGTAGCTTAGAATAGTCCGACCATAGTCTTAAAAAATACAATTTTTTTTTCAAATTAGTGTAGTTTTTTTGCTATCAAAAATAAGCGCTGAGACACTTTCGATAGTCAAAATATAATAAGCAAATTGGAAAGTATTTAAGTAGAAAAATGACTAAAAAAACAAAAAATCACCTTAATTTTTTTGCATTTAAATCAAAAAAAACTTATCTTACTCGAATAAATTAAGTATTTATGGCTTAAATTAAGCTATTGTAAGATTTTCAGCTATTAAAATTAAGCTATTATAAGACTGCTCGATCGCTTTAGTTGCTCGAAATTGAACGAAAAATCAAGTTTTCCAACCGGTTTTTCTCGACACTGGAAAATTTTTTTGGAAATTTCCAAATGTTCAAATTAGGACTGGCAGGGTTTTTATATAATATATCACTCAATGCGCTCCGAAGGTTTGTGGTGGCTGAGTTGGCGTGAAAAAAAAATAAACTAAATTAAACACACCCAAATACAAAATCTTCTCGATTTTTAAAATGGTCAGAACAGTTACAGTTGAAACAAAAAGCGATCGCTATGCAAACAAAAGCCGGTCGCTATCATAGTCTCTTCGCAATGATAATCAATGGAAGAAAAAGTTGTAATCGGAAACTAGACTTTCCTCGTAAACAACTTTTTCCAACTTCCGAAGAAAGTGCTGAATATATACACTTGGGGTGGTTTTTTATTTTACAAACCGATTTTACAAATTTTTTCCTCCCTCGGGGATCGCTCCGCTGTTCTGAATGGGTCCATCCGAGTGTGCACAGCAGTATAATATTCTGCCATCAGTCTGTCTAAACTCCTGTGTCTAAACTCTAAATAATTTACACGTTTTCGAATTATCCCGCACTACAAAATCGTTCCCAATTGAAGTGAGGCAAAAAGCTAACTGATTTTATTGATTCCATACACGACTAAATGCTTAAAAATTTCGATTTAGGCTGATAATTGGCAAATTTTTGGTTTTGCCAATATGTTTTAACACGTTATTCGAGGCCAATTAAAAACAATCGGAACATTCAAGGCTTTGCCCTGATACGAGCAACTTGTCTTACATTTCTGCAAGAAATTGATGTTATATTTTTCATTCTTAACAATTTGCAGGCTCCTTTTCACATGGTCTAGAGCTCGTTTCCCCTTCAGGATTTTTTCCACTTGGTCTAGAGATTTTATTCTTGTTTTTTTTTTCAATATAAATGAAATGCAAAAGTTTTTCGGAGAAATGGATTTGTCGGACTTTCGTTTGTCTGCTTATTTTTTTGTCGATTTGGCTTCAGAGTTTGGATTTTTCTTGTTGAATTTTTTTTGGTAAAATTGATTTTCCTAATATTGTTTCGTGAATTTACTGATCGGATTTTGGATGTTTTTAATTTTTAATTTTTCAGGTTTTGAATTATTTTTTCAACTTTTTCAAATGTTTTTTTTTCAATTTTAATGGTTTTGCTTTGTTTTATCGACTTATTCAACCTATTTTTTGTCGTTCGACATGAAAAATGAAGAAAAAATATTGAGAATTAACTCAGTTGTGCTGTAAAAGCTTTGAATTTATGTTGCTTGAAGTTTTTTTCTGACCAAAATTTCTTATGGCAATTTTTTGCTTTCCGCTCAATGAGCGTCTACCTACATATTGTCGGCTTAGGGGCCGCCCGTCCGTTTTTTTTTCAATTGTTTTTTGACTTACTTCTGTCTCATTTTACCTTCGATGCTTCAATGGTTTGCAGTATATTGATTGTGTTTGAGCACCTAACTGATATAAAAGCTGATTGTGTGTTTTTCAAAAGCTTGAAGGCTCAAACGCTAAGGCCATTGATTCGTTCCTGAAACACAGTGGGTTGGATTTCCAGAACATATTGTAATCTTTTATTTCCTTCGAGGCGTTTTTTTTTGTAAGTTTTCACTATTGGGCGAATTTCTTAATTGCCGTAGTTGATCATCAAAACCTATTTATCCCCCATTCCCTTTTTAGTTGTGCTGAGAGATTTTCATTTGGGTTGTCATGTTAACTTTCATTTGAAAGTCAGATGAACTAACTGCTAAATAAGAACCCAAAAACTCGAAAAATTTTCCTGAATTCAATTGTTTAATTTTTAGAAAAAGAAATCAACCGACTTTAAGCAAACATTTCTAAATTTTTTCTCATCAAAAATTTCTTTCTCAGTGAAGCATTTTTGATTGATATGCTATGCAGAAAGTTTAATCATTTTTGATTGAATGCTATGCAGAAAATTTTTCCATTAATTTTAGAAAAAAAATGCTTTATAGAAATAAAAAAATTGTTTTTAATAATTAGTGTTAACAGAATGGCGAAACTGCAGTTCGCGAACACTAACGCGAATTTACTTATTCAGAAAACCCGAATTGGTGATTTGAACATGCGTTTGAGCATCTCAAGATAAATCCTATGCCGCCAGCTGAAGTTTTTTCCAGTAACGCACCTACGGTGCTTCGAATTTTTAACAACTAATAAAAAACCGCATATATTGGAAATATATTTTGAATCCTTTGAGTGTACTCTGACAGCAACCAATTACAGGTTTGGCAGTTTCTATTTTTGTAAGGTTTTGAATTGATTTTTTTTTGTTATTCAAATTTTGCAAACCATAAATTTTTGAAGTTTTTTATATCTGTTCTTTGAAAAATTTTAAAATGACATAGAAAGCTAAAAACAATTGAGCAGTCGCATATGGACGCAAGATTTGTAACTCCTAAGAGTAATCTCATTGTAACCAACTACAGCGTTGGGAATTTCAAATTTTGAGAAACTTCAAAATTAAAGTTTTCTGAAAAATCCCAAAAACTAAACGATTTGAAAACTAAACGATTTTAAGTAGTCGTGGCTGGAGGCAAAATTCGCAACTCTTGGGAGTAAACTGATATAGCCTTACCATAGTGATGGGAATTCCAAATTTTGTTACATCTAACTTTTTTGAACAATTTAAAAAAAAACATAAAAACGTCACATCTCGGAAACTAAAAGCATTTGAGCAGTCGCATTTGGACATAAGATTTGCTAATTGAAACTCTTATGAGTACCCTCACAGCAACCAACTACAATTTTGCGATATTCAAATCCATTAAAGTTTTTGAAATCTAAGTTTTCTGAAAAGTTAAAAAGAAATCATAAAACACGTCATATCTCGAAAACTACCAGGTTTTGAGTATTTATGTTTGGAGGCAAGATTCGCAATCTTTGAGAGTATTGGGCGACTTATTTTCAACTGGGTCAATTAAACACTGAATTCAAACTGGAACTGGAAAATCGGAAAAACTTTCTTAGCCCTTGCACGATACGATATAGCCTAAACGCGAAAAATTATTTCATTAAACATGGAAAAATAATACGTTGAAAAAGCTTAAACGTGGCGAGATAGTGAAGCCCGCATTTAAATATAGAATGTCACAATTATTTCAGAAATTTAATACGATTTCCGATAAATTTGTTGAAAGCTATAGTGCAAGGAGCAATAAATGCAGTTTCATTTTCAAGAGAAACTGTCCATAGAAGTGCGCAATTTTTTGACGTAAAAAAGTCATGATTATATAAGTCAAACTGTGCTGGCTTTGCTTCGAAAAACAGTTTGCACTCGCTTTGAGACGTTCAGGGATTCAAAACTGGATCAATTTTGTAGCAGAGACAGCTCAACCCTAAATAAACTTTTTTCCAGTTTTCAATGAGTGAGCGTGACGTGATTGGACTGGTGTTGACATTGAGTGGGAGCAGAGGGAATGAACTGCTATACAGAAACCCACTCTACAGACAACCTTTTACTAATTCACCCAACGACACAATCGTATCTGAACAAACCAATAGCCAAGGTCACCAAAGGGTCCATGATCATGAAATATTTATCATTATAACTTTATGTTGTATACACCGTTCACTGTGCATCGGGTTTTTTAATTAACACTATCATTAACAGCAACAATAACTCAATCAGTTCTTAAATAATCAAACGAATGTAGTACAATTTGCCAACTTGTCTCGATAATCAAGAGAGAAAATCATCAGAAATATTTTTAAAAAAATTGTAAAACCAATTTGTGACCTCAAAATTGTCATCAGCAGCAAAAGAAAATCAGGAAAGCTTACGAACAGACAAATTCACGGAATTCTCAGCCTTTGATGATGCCCTGTTGGAAAATATCTGTGTGCTGAAACACAACCGTTCGAGATCTTTCCACTTGGAAATCGACAGGTTCTTTTCAAGCTCCCCGAATCCCCAAAACAAACCTGAAAACAAATAAATTGCTTCAATTGTGATGCAAAACTCCAAAATTTAGACTCTAAAGGTAGTCTTTCTTGTTAATACTAACAATGCTGTTAATAAGTGCGCTTAAGTCTGAAGATCTGAGCATTCCATTTTCCAAAAGGAGTTGGAAAACTGTTTTTGGCTTCGTTGAAATTTACCTGGGGGGAGGGAGGGCTAGAAAAGAACGAATCTAACAACAGCGTGGCTTTCATTGGCTACCCTGTGCAGTGGGACAAGACACTGATGCTTCACTTGGTGTTTGCTACCAGAGCCAATGTGTCTTCTAAGCTGACTGATCAACTGTCCAAACTGTCTCAGAAGGCGGCACTCATGCTATTGCAAGAGGCAGAAATTATGAGGGACCTCTCTTTTGACTCGGTACGAGAAGATACAATTTTTTGCAGTTCAAGTTTTGATGCTCAGAATACTTGGCGGTTATATGCACCATGTTTTTGTTTTCGTTTGAAGTAGCTATTTTTAGAATGATGCGAGTTAATGCAAAATATATATTTATAACAAGCCAGGTGTAATCAGTATTTTAGATTCAAAATAAAATTTTTTTGCTGAATTAATGGCATGATTTTTATCATTGATTCAAAGCTGACAACCCTGGGAAAAGCTGATATTTAACGCAGAAAAATGCTGCCTATATACGGCAATTAGTTCAATTTGATCCGTTTACCAAAAAAGTGTTCTGTTTCAGATCCATTTCAGTGAGGATACAAATCGCAGCAATGACGTAAGTCACGGCGTAATACCTGGAAACGGTTTCTTTTAATTGTGGTTGTAATCAAAATGGAAAGGCAGTTGATCATCACTCGTCTTTTTGTGATTCATAAGGATTAGCTAGAACAGATCAATATTCACACATTTCGCCCCTAATAACATTATTGGTACATTTCGCTCCCTCGCACATTTCGCCCCTAATCAAATTATTGGCGCATTTCGCCAATCATACATTTCGCGTCACATTGTCAACCACAAATGTAAATTAAGAAAGCGGTGATTAATTTATGATTGTGTAATAAATTAGGGGTGAAACGTGTGAGGACGAAATGTGTGATTTTATGTTGGCGTAAAGTGTGCGCGACAAAAACAACCACATTCGATCTACTCGCTGCGTTATCTTAACCTGTTTAAACGAGCGTAGCGTAGCTTGATACTACGGTGCAACTTTTTTCCCATTCTAAATCGTAAATAAAAGGATACTTTTGGTAGCTTTTTGAATCGGTAGGCAGCATATGTGCTTTGACATTAATTATTAGAGAGCAAACTCAGTTGGTTCTTGTTTAATTCATCAATTGAATCGAAAACAGCTATTTGTTTCATACAACCATATAATAATTCATGTCCCATTTCAGAAGTTTTTCAAGTCTACACTTCGCGAGGTTTTTGAAACGCATAACTTATACGCAATTTGGTTTAATACATTCGAAGTTATTACATGCAAAGTTATGTGGTTGCCTTTAGGTCATTACATTCCAAATAATTACATGCAAAATTTCAATTGTGCATTTTAAAAGCTGCTCACTCTTTGCCGATTTCTCGCACGTGTTTGCGAAGCTGCAGTTTCGCCTGTGTTGATACATTTGAAGTTGATGCTAATCGTGACATTTTTGCAAACAAATTGTGTAGCAATCTATTTCGCCTGATACTTGGTAGATCGCCATTAAGCTTGTTGGAAAAAAAATTATTTTTATCCGGGTTGTCGAGTAAGGTTTTGCAGATGACTTTCGTTTCGAAGCAAAGTAGATAACTGAGAGACGGGTCTGAATCAGACATTGAAACTAATAGACAATTAAGAGACAGTAAAAGCAAACAAAGCAGAAGCAAGGCACCAAATTAAAAGACAATCATTTGCCGAAATTTGAATCACTATGTTTTTTACAGCAGTTAGTCTTTTTCGATTTCGGAGCAAGCAACTCTTAAAAGACTTATTCGTTTGCTGCCTAATTCGTTCAATAACCCGCACAAATACTGTGATATTTTTGCTCTTTATTAAGATCACTGTCCAGATCAGACCCGTCTCCTTGTCATTTACCTGAGTTAAGAACTACAGATGTCTCTTGGGTGCAACAAATAAAAATGATTTTTTTTGCGCCTGGTTTTAAATGTATTTCGTGTTAGTAGCATTTGAAACTGTAGGGAAAATTGAATTCATTTTATTTGGATAAGAAAGTGTTAATAAACTAATAAACTTTTTGGTTTAAAGATATGATGAGGTTTAAGCTTGTTTCTTGCCATACAAAACAAGCAAAGGTAGGGCAGAACTGGGCAAGGCAGGGAAGGGAAGGACAAGGCAAGGCCTGGCAGGGCGGTGTAAGGGTGAGATCCATTTGGCTATATATAACACCATGCAGTCACTCATCCTGCCGTCCGTCCAGTCATAGCGTCTAGCTTTCCATATTCCCAGCGGTGCATCCATCCTGCTACCCATTCTAGCCATCCATCTAGTCATCCAGCAATATATCTAGTCATCCGTTCGGCTATCCAACTATCGATTCTTCAAGCCATCTATCTGGTCATTCATAAATCCAGCCCGGCAAAGTAAGGGAAGAAAAGCAGGGCAAAGAAGAGCGAAGATTGCCAAGGCTGACGAGGACAAGGGAAGGAAATGCGCAGGCTGAATCCATCCTGTCATTCATACAGCCGTACTGACACCAAACCATCTATCCTGTTATCCATCCAGCCATACATCTAGCCATCCATATACCGAGCAGGCGCTTCAGCTATCTATCCTTTCAGTCATTCTATCAGGCATATATCAATCTAGCTTTCTATTCACCCATCCAGCCAACGCTCGTTCAAACCATCCATTCTTTCAGCCACCCATTCATCCACTTCTCCATTCATTCAACCAGACATCGATCCTTCCATTCAGTCTCCCTTCCAGCCTTCTATTTAATCAGATATCCATCCTGCCAGCCATCAATCCGGCCAGTTATCTAAACAGTCATCCGTTCATCCATCCAGAGCTCGCTCCATCCTTCCAGCTACCGATCCACTCCTTAATCCATCCAATTATTCATCTATGCAGCCATCGCACCCGTATTTACAGCAATCCGTCTAGTCATTCGTCCAGGTATCCATCCAGCAACTTATCCAATCAGTTATTTAACGCGTCGTCCATCCAGCCTTGCAGCCAGTCATCCATCGATCCATGTATCCAGCAATCTTGCCGTCAATCCACCCCGCCATCGATCAGGATATCCAGCCATCCAGCGCTCTATCCAGCTATCCATCGATCCTTCATGTCATCCAGTCATTCATCCATGCAGGCATCGATCAAGCTCTTCATCTGTCAATCAGTCATCTATGCAGTTGTCGATACAGCCTTCCAGCGTTCGATCTATCTATCCTACCTTCGATCCATGCATCTATCCAGGTATTCATCCAACCATTCGGTCATCTAGCCGGCTATCCATCAATTCTACCATCTAGTCATCCATTCAGCGATGCATCGTTACATCTATATAACCTGTTTTATTTTTAATAACCCGTTTTAATTCTATATAACCGCGTTTTTAACCCACTTTTAAACCCTTTCCATTTTAATCAATTGTAGTATAACCCTTACAACGCCTTTTTATTACCGACGATTAGAATGATGACAAAATAAACCTAATTGGAAGAAACACCGCGATGTTTTTGGTAATATATCAAATCTTCGGTAATGGTTTTGTTTTTAAGAGCGTAGAGCGAGCGTATCGGGATCTCCAAACAATTATTCTTCTGGACTCATTGTATAAATCTAATTAATTTAAATATTTTTTAAAGTAAGTCAAATATTCGGCATGCCGGTGATGCTAGTAAATTTGAGCTGCGGAGATTCACGCTTTTTTTGTTTGCGCTTCACTTTAACATGAGTTTTACAATCATTGCTAGCAGGGTTCATAGTCTACGGTAGTTGGCCGAATTTAAGTGGTGAATACTTGGGTTACGCTTTTGCTCGTCTTCTAAGTTTGTAAAAACTAATTTAACATCATGTTTTCCTGATGAATTTGCGTGATTGTGTTTGTCACAAGCTTCGATAAATTTAACGCCTTCGGTATTTACCAATGCTGGCAATTTATTTTATTTATATTTCGAAAAAGTCTTCGGGAATTTGTCTTTAAACTAGTGTACAACAATGCGGTTTTTGTTCTTACAGTAAACCCATCATCTGAGTTGCTAATCCGGTCTGTTTTTTGTATTCAAATTGAAATAAACAATGGATTAATCGAGGGCTTAAATTGAAAAAAATCCTATAGTTTCGAGTTTAAAATGGTCTAAGTTGTGGAGTTAAATTGTAAAAGAATGAAACGATATGGTAAAACAAAAGAAAAGTTAACAGTCGCGAGGGTTAAAATAGAAGACATCGAAGGCCGCGCGCTTTCTGCTAGATTTGTCTCAATCTTCGTTTTATTGTATTGTAGTTTGTCTTGAGTTTATGATCCAATAAGAGTAGCTGGTTGCCATCGAAGTACACAGAAGGTTCAGATCACAGTCATCTGTGCAAAAATGTTGGATAAACTTGCAATAACCAAGGTTATTGAAACCAGATACTAGACTTTTTTTTTTACCGGTAAACAACTTTGTTCACAAGATTTTGCACGTGAAAATTACTCGTGGTTCAACTTGATTCATGATAATTTCAATATCAACCAGCTATACTGAACATCTGGCGTAGAAGTAATACACCTGCTTGAAACGATAAAGGTTTGAGATTCGAAACCGACGGGGACCTTTTTTGAAAATTTAAAAACAGTCTGCTTTACGGGATATTGTCCGTGTTTTTTTGTCGGCTTAGTTCCCTTGAACGGACTCTTTTTGACGGTTAAGTTTCTTCTGAACTCTATTCCTAAAGCCGCATTAATAGAGGTAATTAATTTAAAGTTTTTTCGTTTCAAAGTTTTCTCGCATATTTTTAGTTTTTTTTTGAGAAATTTGTAACAAAATTTTTTAATAAAAGAAAAAAACGTTTTTGCTTTTTTCTAACTTTTTCTCCGTTGGTTAAATTGTACAGACATTTTACGCATGCAATTATTTGTCTCGTAATTAGCAAGCATTAGCAGTTCCGAACTTAGAATTTTTCTTGAAAAGAACTTGTCCTGTAAGCACTTTGTCCATCAAAAAAATCTAATTTTTCTCATAACTGCACTTTCGTCAACCAACCGACATGTTGAGCTTGCCTGCATTTTAAATAACTGTTCTATTCTATATTCTGTTCTATCGTGTGTTCAATTTTACCAACTCCGGTTCGGTATAATGTCCGCTTTTTCGTTTTTCCTTTTTTGTTTACTCGGCTTTTTGAAAGTTTATCGGTTTGTTCCTAATCGGCGGTATCGCATCATACTGCTTTGAGTTAGCGAAGCAATTTTTTATGCGTATGAGTTTTATAAGGGGTTATTTTCATATTTATAAAAGTTTTCAATTTTTTATGGAAAAATTGTTTTGGTCAATGAATGTCGCTCAAAAAATGTCTTTGATACCGCTTCGAAATTTTTGTTTCGAAGCAAATTGATCTTTCAATCGTCTTGTTTGACATGTTTTTTAAAAGTGAATTTTTTTATGGCAAATGGAGCCAATGATATGAAAGCTTTATTAAATCTAGTTTTTCTGGACATTTTCAAAAGCTTGTTGTTCTATTTAGCGGCTTTCTTCTCAATTTAAGTCTGCTATTTTTTCATGCTGTGTTTTTGTTGTTTTGCTAGTGGTGCAAAGCTCTGCTTCGTCTCGGAGTTAAAAAATATATATTTTTTTCGAACTTTTGAGTAATTTGTGGTGCATTTTCTGCCTTGGGAGCCGAATAGGTGATTTTTTCCGGAAATTTTTATTTACTTTTCAAATCAAGGTTGAAAGGGCTTCAATATGATACTTTTAGGCCCAATTTGATATTCATATGTTGGACCTGATTTTGCATGAAGAGAAAATATACATGAATATGCAATGTTTTTTTAATTTCTGTTTTGGGAACAAATATTTCAACGTTCAGGTTGCTTGCGCGAGTAGTATTGTATCGTGTCCCGGATCCTAAGGGGGGGGGGTCCTTCCTAAGGGGGGGGGGGGGGGTCACGTTGTTCTCAAAAATGTAGAATCAGAATGCAATCAGCTCATTGGTGTATTAGAAAAAACGGTGATTTTTTATTTAATTTTGGTTTATTGGGATTTCTATTAGCTCTTTTAACAACATGAAGTTTTAAGTAACTCATCAAGGGTATACGTTTGAGTACCAGACGGTCCAGTTGTCTATTCTCTCCGAGTCTCATTATGTTGAATTAGAGTTATTTAATTTTGAATATTTATGGTGATAATGCTGGCTGGAGAAATAAATTCTTTCTTGTTTATTCTTATATGCCAAGTTGATTTGTTTTAGGAGTCCTTGTTTCGATCCCCAGTCTATTCGCCCAGCCAACCTCGCTCATTAACAACATTAGCAGAGAACCAGTCCTCTCCTTCTGCTGCCACGTCTCCGCCCAGGGTACTACTGAAGCAGCAAAGTTATCTGGGGAGTAAACAGAGGAAATGCAGACGACTGGTGGACTTTCTAAACTTCCTTACTTGTGTAGAGGTTGGGAGTGATCTTTGGCTTTTTTTCATCTTCATCCACCCGCCAAATTTTTGAATTGACAACTAGGAAAAAGAAGTCTTTTCACCCCCACCCCTCCCCCCAATTTACAATTCTCAAAAGATATATAAAAAAGAGATAAAAATTCTCTTATCTGATTAGTTGAGTAAATTTGGGCGGAATAAGTTCAGCCTGGAAAATTTTTCGCAGTATTTGTTTGTTTTTTGGGTTGCTTTTATTGAATATTAAGTTTAAGATAAAGCGTTTTCAGGCCAATGAGTTTTGATTAATTGTTTTTTTTTTACTGTGGAGAAATTTAAAAAATGAAGCATCATAGTTTCCCTTATAGGTCGGCACCTCTCTGTGTCTGACTTTGCCCAGTGGAGCTCCCTTCTCCTGTCATATACACGCAAACCCACAAAAAGTTCAAGCTGAAATAGGTTAGATTTTAATTAATTGATTGTAGATAAAACTTTCCTTAAATTTTAGTTGTTTCCATCTCGCTTTTTTCTCAATAAATTTAGTTTACTTCCAGAGTGGATAAAATCGATGTTTAATCTAGCGAGCAATTTTATTTTGAACAGTACCTGAAAAAAAAACACATTCCATTTATGTGTTTTTCAAATTGTGTGTAATTTCTAAAAAGAGTATACTGCTTATTTCAGACCGAATTCAACCCTACCACACGATTCTGTTATCGCCCGACATAGTGCAAGATACGAGTGGCGAATTCCCACCCGACTTCTCCACCGCCATATGTGCACTCATATCGGCTGTATGTTGCAGCAAACCTCTCTACCAGATAGCAGCTGATGCTGATTTGACGCTGAGACATGCCATGAAGATAGCAGCCCATTTGGTCTACTGGGATAGGGCCAAAGTAGCCTATCCTATTTGTCAGAGCAGAGTTAGTATTATTATAACAAGAGGAAAGGATAGTGGTGCCAGAAATATTTAATATTTCGATCTTAATTCTTGTGTAGTGACAAGATCTTCAGGTTTCTGTTGTGAAATATGACCTTGCTGGCTGAATGATCATGTTACTAGTTAAGATATTTCGCCGTTTTTTGAGTTGTTTGCTGTTTTTTTTTCTCGTGTGTGAAGAGAAACTCATCCTTTCTGTGTTATATTTTGTTTTAATATCTTACGCTAGATTGATTTTTCTTTCGATTTCGTGACAGTTAAGTAGTAGTGAGTCTCTCTTCATACAGAAGAACTGAACGTCGGAATATCAAGTTTCAGCAATTGGAATTGGGTATTTAAAAACTTTAAAGACTTAAAAATGTCAATAAAAGTAAATAGATCCAAGGTTTTAAAATCAATTGTGGTCAAGAAGAAAATCGGTAGGTTTGTGAACATCCAAATCTTACGCAAGATTTTAGGTGTATTGAATAAAAAGCGCATGTGTTATATTAAGAGCTCACTTTTTTCCAACCTATCTCGCAATTCATTGCTGATGAACTTCAGTATCTGGGTGTTGTTCATGTTTTACTGATTAGTGACTAGTGTTTCGGAGACAGCCAAAAAATTATGGCGCATTTACCAAGGCATTAGATTCTAGGCAGGTCAGAAGCTCGAATCCGGCTGAGGTTAATTTATTTTACTTTTTCGAAGCTTATTTATTTTTACATTTTTATTACCCTTGCGGTAAGCAAGGGTATTGCAATCGGGTACAAGACTTTTTTTCTCGTAAACAACTTTGTCTACGAGAAAGTTCATAGTGAATTCAAATTTCTAATTGTCTCCTGCGCGCTAAGCCTGGAGGTAACAATTTGCTGTAAACAATTTTCTTTATAATTGTTTTAAGTGTTTTAGCATTTTGAAAATCCTGTGGAATCGAAATTTGTTTTTAATACTGGTTGTAGTTTTACCACCTCGATTCGTCAATTTTTTTTCATTTTGTCTTTTTTTATCGGGTTAATAAGTTTCGGCTAAATTTATATCAACCTAGTGGCCTCTAATTGCGCCGTTCGGGGATTGAAAAAAGTTTGTATGCGTACGTGTGCTCTGAGGGGAAAACTGACATAAAGTTTCTTTTTTTAGCTAAGAATTTTTTTACGGCATGAAAGGTTTCTGCTCAGGTATTTTCGGCTTTGTTGCCACATGATAATTATAAATTCAAAGTCAATCAACCATCCGGTGCCTCTAGGGTAGAGGTGAGACAACTTCTTGAGACTGCTTTTTTGATATTTTTTTTTCAAATTTTTCCGTTTCGCAAGGGATCCGAAGCTCTAATTTTTACTCGTGCTGTGAATGAAAACATATGTGAAACATGTGTTCAGTTATATTTGTGGCTAGTGCTTGTGATTAATTAAGCGTGAGTGCTTAGTGTGCGAGACGCATAATCTCTAGGTCTCAGTAGGTCGTAGGTTCAAATCCGAGATGTAGCCGAATTATTGCTAATTCGAGGCTTATTTCCACTTTTTCCTTTTGCACTTTATAAAACTGCTTTTTCGTCGCGTTCTCGCTAGTGTTTGCGAAGCGCAGCTCGCCTGTGTATGAAAAGTATAATAGCAAAAAGGAGTTTTTGCAGCTCTAAGCAATTGTAATCGCTTGAATATTTTTCATCATTCGAACTCTCTATTATGAGAATAGCCATTTAAGTAGCCATTAATTTTATGCTTTATTTTTGAACTTCTAAAAAGATTCTGATTTTCACAATAAATTGATTGCCTGTTTTCTAATTTACTTGATAGGAGACCTTATTTTCATGATTAGATGTTTCTGAATGTATTATGCAAGTTAGCTATGTAACCTTGTAACTTATTGTTTTGCTAAGACTCGTATTTTTTTTTGTTTTATATTCATGTACGAAATCTTTTATCGAAGTTTCATGCTATGATTAACAAAACGTGATACTGCTAGTACTTTCCATTCGATGCATTTTCCCTGTGCATCTCGTAGGTTTGTTTTATTTGGTTTATATTCGCAACATGGAAAAACTGCATATTATCTATGCACATTTGAACTAGCCAACGCAGCTTCTCTTTTTTCAACCTAAATTGCATCAAAAATTGCCAAGCAAATATGATAATTTGAGAATCTGTTTACTGCTAATATGTTTTATCGGTATGTGTTTTATTCTTTTTGTTGACCGGTGTTTGGAAGACAACAAGATCATATAGCCCAATTGTCAAAACCTTCGTCTCTGAATCTAGAAATTCGTCTCTAAGCCGGAGGTCTGAGTCCTTCAGGCGGTTTTTTTTTGTTTTCGAAAGTTTTTTTTTGCATTTTTGGCCATTTTAAGCTCGCTTTTGCCAATTTTTGCCTGGGTTTGCGTATTACAGTATCGCCTCTATGTAAAATTCTCTGGTTTGTAATTATTGTTAAGTTAATGTTGGTTAAAGCTAAATCCTATGCAATTGCTTTTTTTATTGCTAATTACACATGCTGATCGTAGTGGAGTACTAGAGTGCAACTTTTTTGTGACTTAAATGAAATTGTGCTACTTTGGGGGTATTTTTGGTATATATCCAAGCAATGGTAACTCAATAGCATCTATAGCTGCTGTATTTGTGGCTAGTATTTGTTTATTTCCGAGCGAGCATGCGGCAGATAAGGGACGTGAAACTCGTAATCTACAGGTGAGGTGGGAAAAGGTATTATTTTTCTTTGGTGACATTTTTGGAGCGATTGTGGAGCAGATGCAAGGACATGATACTTCTAATCTCTAGGTCGGAGGTTCTATTACGGTCCATAGCAAAGTTTTATTTCCGATGCTTCCTTTTTACTTTTTTAAAAACTTTCTTTTGTTTTTGGCTTTATGAGCAAATTTTTGCAGGTTTCTCGCTTGTGATTGCGAAATACAGCTTCCCCTCTGTGTCAATTTCTTTGATGGTCAATTTCTAAAATCTTGGATGTGGTGATTTCTATGAAAGGAGTGAAAAAAGGGGCAGGAAAAAAGCGACCAGGTTGAAGTAAGTGTTTTTTTAGATACACATCTAAGGGAGATTGAAACTCAATTTTTAAAAAAGCAATTATTAAGATGGTTTGTTGAAGATTTTCATCTTCAAGTTTGAGACAGTCGAAATATAAAGAATACTTATATAAAGAATACTTAAAGAATACCATATCTCCGTTCGTTGAGGAGACTTTGAAAATGCTCTAAATAAACTATGATATGATTATAACGGACTTCTTGATAGTAGCTTGCCATGCCATCTTTGTTTCTTGAATAATTTGTCAACTAAAAAATTCGACTCCGTCATCAGATGGCAAAATTATTTTCAAAGCTGGCAATTTCGTAAAGGATATAAAGTTACGCAAAGAGATTTATCAGGTTTTAACAGCCCAAGTCTTGAAGCGAAGTTAGAGAAATTTTGGTGATTCATAAACCGTTCAAAGTATAAGCCAGCTGCTGTTTGAACCATCCAAAAATTTAATTTTTTTTTGCGTAATATTCATGTGACTCTGAGTTTAATCCTCTTTATTAGTGACTGATGCTTGGAGGACAGTCAGGGCATATGGCGCAGTTGTCAAGACTTTCAACTATAAATCTGGAAGTCGGCTATCTGAGTCCCGTAGGCTACAATTCTTTCTTTTTCAGTGCTATTTATTTTCATTTTGCGTTTTCTTGGAGTTTTTTTATTTCTCTTGGCCCTTTTTTGACTGTTTGTGAAGATCAAACTCGCCACTGTGTAAAATTTTTTTAGTGTGCAATTGTTAGTATTACTTTACTACTGAATAAAGTTGTACGGACGGAATTCTTTTTTTTCTACTTGTAATTATCTGTGACGTTCGCCGTCTATAGTTATTAAATATGTTCGTTCAATCACAGTCGTAAAGACAGCGAACAATTGGGAGTAAATGACTTCTAGTGTTTTTTTTGTTTGTTATTAAGCCTTCTTAAAAACTAAAAAACTTGATGTGTTTAAGCATCGGAATTGATCAGATTAGTGCTTTTGAGTGATTCTTGCTGTAAACGAGTTTTGAAGCTGGTTTTATTAAAATGAATGCCCACATAGATCGCAAGTGGACTGTTTAAAGTTGTACAAGCGTCTATTGAGTTATTTTGAGTGTCTTATCTATTGGCAATAGTAGAAATTGTTATGTCAAATAGTTCGTTAAATTTTATTTTCAGTCACGGGACACAGAAGTTGCAACAAGTTTTCAACGCACAAATGAACGAATTTTCGTTCGTTTTTTTCTTCGTTTTCTCTGCAACTATTTAAGATAATGAATTCATTTTTTGACACATGGTAGATGAAATTATTTGAAAGGACTGAGCCGGGTCAAAATTTGAGAAATTTTGTTTCAAATCGTAAATTAGTCCGTATCTCATCACTAGTTTTAAATCCTCGAAAAATCCTCGCAGACGATATGAGAAATGTGAACTGATAAGTTCGCTTTGAAGCCGATGAGCTTGACTTACATTTTATGCCGCCGGAAAGCCATAGATAACAGAATTGAAAGAATTACTTGACACAGTCTTGAACACGTCTGAAATTTACAAATAATATCGCGCTGATGATCAAATTAGGACAACAAAAGAACAATTGGAGGAAATAATTCGGAAAGCCTACTGTTCTAATCCATATGCAGGTTTCTTGTTAGCAGTTATTTTGTGACCAAATTTTGTTCAACTTTCTGGTGTAACTGGTGGGGTTTCTGGTGGCCAAAAACTTTCGATATATATGTCGTCAAAACATGTTTGATTTTTTTTGACGGGCCAAGTAACATTATCAATTCTTTTATGTTTCAGGCGGTATAAGGTGTAAGTCAGGCTCATCAGCTTCAAAAAGAACTAAATTGTGCCCAATAATTTACATTTCTTATATGGTTTGCGAGGATGTTTCCACAGCAAGAAAACGTCTAGCTTGTGTCAAAAATGAACCGTTTATCTTGATTAGTTGCAGAGAAAATGACAGAGTGAAAAAATTCGTTCATTTTCCCGTTGAAATCAAAAAGATGCAACTTCTATGTGCCGTGACTGTACCTCACCGTTTATTTTTTCATTTAAGCAATTCGCAATGAGACAACATTTTTGAAAAGTATGCCCAAGTTAATCAAAGCTTTAAGTTCATGAAACGTTTGTGGGAGAAAGTAAAAATAATTTGATGCGTTTTTCTTGGCTGTTTGGGGTCATGTACAGTTTGGCTAAAATAGAAGGCAGAGACTTGATTGATGGTTTCCATCAAAAGTTTTGCTTTCAGGTTTACATCCTAACCCTGTCAAGTAACGGCCTCTTGTATGTCAAATCTACAATCGCAAGGGACCTCAAGGCAGCGAACTCGCTAGCTGCATCAGAACTATTCGAGGCTATTTTCTGTTTTGTTACCCATCCCATTCCATGTTTTGATTTGAGGTTAGGGTTAGGGTTGAATATGAAAAGCAAATCTGTTCAGAATTGTCATATTTTGCTTGATACACTTTTTGTGCAGTCAAAGGGGACAAAGTGTCATTTTTGATTTTTTGTGAAAAGTTGGCTTATTATTAGAAATACTTTCTGTGTTGTTGATAAATGGAAAATAGCCCTGCCCTAATGCAGACATTCCTCTCCTTCTGTGGCTCCTCTGGAGGTCAGTTCGAACTGGGAGTTCTGTTTGAGCGTCTCTGTCTCATTTCGCCTGACCTCCAATGGGCTCATTTGAGACAGTTTGTGAACTCTCTTCTCTGGTGTCAGTACATTACTGAAGTGCACAATTACCCACTCTACAAGTCATATTTCGTGCATAATTCAAATGAAAGTAAGTGAACATTTTCCATAACACTTTACCAAATTTTGAAAAATGAGGCCATAGCGTAAACAGAGATTTTATTGTACTCAAAGGGTTGTAAAGACTCAGTAAACTATCAGAAACAATCTCGGTGATAGATTTTTTAAAAATAGAATTAAAATTTACCCTTTAATGTATAAATTCCGTTCAAAAATGTTGCTGCTGCGACTACATTAATTCACTGAGAATACATTATAGCTCAGATTTTGTTTGCTATTGCGAATAAATATTGGCAAGAATTAAGTTAGCATAGCTTTTGAAGGTGCTTACAAGTTTTTGATACTCGAGCGTTCCAAGGGTCTTTAGTTATACGGCCTAAAACTATCAGAATGTTATGTTAGTTGAGCTTCAGTTTTTATTGAAAACCTAGGTTTTCTTTCGGTGGCAGTAATTTCAAACAATCAGATTCGAAATCAAGAGCAAGATAATCATTTTTTCAAAATATGAAAATTATCAGTTTTGGGCCGTTAAACAGAAAACACCCAACATGAACTTTTGGAGTCCTCTCTTTGGCCATGAACCAGAGCACTTTTGTTGTGGGCTTAGTTTTGTATGTAGCTCTCACAATATTTTTTAAGCTTTCTTGTAAGATCTGTAAAGTGCTTTGATTCTGATTATCAGATGAGGCCAATTCGAACCAACGACAGCAACTAAGATTCGAATCAATCTCTGATGAAAATGAAGAGGCGCCTTCTCGAGATATACTTCAGTCATTGGGGATCCGAAGTATTCTTCAAGACATGAACGGAACTGTTCACTTGGACGCGTTGGCATACAAACTTAACAGGCTATTTTCCAGTTTCCATCTCAATTTCTTTAAAAGTTTCAGATTTTAATTCATCTCAAACTCTCTACAGTCGATTTTAGTTAACCGTTAACCCAATTAAAGCAAGTTTCTGGTCAACATCAAAATGATTTTTTTAATTTACTTAATGACTGAAGTAGCTGATTTAGGAGTGGGGATGCAAACCGTTCTTATTTTTTTTTGGAGACCACGAAAAACCAATTTGGTCGGCTTAAAATGGTCAACTATTTTTTTTTCAACAAAACTTCGAACCCCCCCCCCCCCCTCCCTCGAGCGAAAAAACTTTAGCTCCGAGCACGTAGATGAATTGGCCTGAAAATTAACCTCAAGAATAAACTGGAAAAGAGTGTTACAGGAGCATTGTTAGTCTTCTCGGAGAATTGAAACCTCTGGAACAGTCGAACCAGATTCTAAGTTGCTACAGAATCGAAGACTGGTGACGACTTCCAAAAGTTGCTGACGAATAATTTATTTTCTTCGGACATCGAGGAAACAAAAACGAAGTAGAGCACTACATTAAAACATCACATTGATACAAAAATATATCTGATTTTTTATATACATAAATTATGGCAAATAAAATATTTGGAGAATTTGATTCATTTTCACGAGCAATTATTCACATTTTTTCATTAAAAACTTTCAAATTGAAGTTTGAGGCAGTCGATATATAAGACTTATTTAGTTGTGCCATATCTATGTTCTTTGAGAAGACATTGAAAACATTTCAAAAAACGAATGTGATCTTGTCAGGCTGCATGGTATTAGTTTGCAATGCTATATTGCCTTTTGTTTCTTCTTGAATAAATGTCGGCACAACTATCATTAATATCAGGATTTTGACACCGTTAATAGCGGAGGCTGGCAAAATTGTTCGCCAAATTTGACAGTTTCATCATTGTCGCAAAATCAAGTTTAGTGACAGCAAATTTTGTTGAATCAGACAATTAGTGTTGTCAAAACAGCTCAAAATTTTGAAACATAGAGAAGTTTTGGTAACTTATAAACTAATCGAAGTAGAAGCCATCTGCTAATATAAACTAGCCGAAAATATTAAGCATTTGTATAACCATTATGAAACATTTGTTAAACGTTTACGTAAAATTGTGAAAACTACCTCGCAAATGCCAAAATTTTTAGCCGGTTTATATAGTCTGATTATATCGGTTCATTTTACTTCGGATGGTTTTTGAACACTCGGAATTATTTAGTTTTGTTTTTTTTTTGCAAATTTCATTTCTGAACAATGTTACCCTTTGGACTCTGAACATTGATAGCTATTTCGAATCTCTGGCCGGAGCTAATTTTTCGATCATTGACGATCGTAGTGCAGCCATTGATTTTCATATCATCATCATCATAGCGATTATTAGCATTGTAAGCTGTGTCGTTGCATGATGGTTCATCTAATTGCGAATAGCCTGGCTTTGTAAACAGGTTCGCTTTTCTCTGCCGCGTGGGTTTGACCGGCTGGTTGTCTAGTAAAGGGTATCCGTCTAGTTCCAGAACATGTTCTCTGGAACTCCGATTTGATACTCCGATAGAATCCAAACTCTTATTAGAAAGACCTGGAATATATTACAGCCAATAAAGTTATTTTTTCATTTTTTTTAAACCTTAAGCGAACACTTTCCAATTGAAATACATCTGAAAAGAGACAACATGGTTTGAAGAGGCGTACATGCTACTGAGACTTTAAAGAGTTAAATAAAATGCAACTAAACTGAAAACCTTGATAATTATCTTCTTCATGGTTATTTGTTTCAAACACATCCTTTGAATTAATAGTAGTCTGCGATCAATTTGTAGTTATTACCTGTCGGTGATTTGTTGACGGAGCTTAGCGAAGACGACGATCGCCCGCAGTTAGCGGAGGAAGATAGCGGATGTTGATAAGGGCGGTAAGTGTAGGAAATGGGGACAGCACTGTCCGATATTTTTCTCCTGGGAAGTGGAAACTTGCACGACCTCTGCTTGCCGAAGGGGCCATTGGAAGAAAAGAATCCTCCGCCTGTTAGACCACTGCTATTTGGCTCGCTGTTGTTTTCGTTCGACAACATCAGTTTTCGACACATTGATGATATTTTGGGCGATAGATTTATGGGACTGAGTTGAAGTCTGGGCGACGGCGGTGGGGACAGATTGGGGGACGAACACTGCCGTTCTTTTGAAGTGCCAATCGGGAGTCGTAGCGTCTCGGATTCTCTGCCGCTGCACAGAGTAGAAGTGCTTTGGGGTCTGAGGTAGTCGACGCTCAGGTTGGGAGAACTGCCGCTTCCGAATGGAATGGGCGAGACGTCTGATTCTATTTCCTCTTCTTGATAAAAAAAATCGAAACTTTACACAACTAGTTACAACATTTATTTAATGTTGAAAACGCTGTTAGTTTTAAACTGTGTCTTTCAAGAATTTCCAACTTGTTCAATTTGCTGAAACTTTGCTATTCAAAAACCAAAAACTGAATTTCAATACAACTGTACTACGTGCACATGAATGGAAACAGGTTATTGTGCGTATTATTTAAACTTTTCAGATCGATCAACTCACCGGATGTTAAATTTCTTGTACTGCGATTAACTATTATTTTAAACAAGAATGGTTAATCTGATGTAAAAAGCCAATAGGTTAATACTATTTTGTTCGAAATGGACACGTTTTAGACCTTGGTTCACATTAAGCGGCATTGGAAGAGGTATTTTTACATTTCCCAGATGTTGGCCGTGTTAATTGTTCAGAAAGCCAATTGGTTAGGTAATTTGTTTGAAAGTTTTCTAATTGGTAAGCGATTAAAAATCTGTTCAATTTTTTAAAAACAGACAACATCTGGGCTTCATAGAAAGAAATCTTAAGAGATACTCACTGGTGCTGCCATCGTTCGCGTTCATTCTCGGAGGGATCTGCGGTGTGGTCGGAGGTGCTCTGTGATGCGTGAGGGGGGTCATGGGCAGATTCATGTTGGAGTTCAGACTGATCGCCGATCCATTCAAAGTCAAGCTTCCTCCGCCTAAAGATAAAATAAAAATGTGATTAACTGACTTTTGCATTGAACGTATCGACCGAGGATGTAATTCAAAACTGAACGATGCAAAAAACCGCCTGGAACTGTAGATGCTAGGGAGTTTTTAGGATTGGTGATTTAGAAAAAAAACAGTTAATTTCTCAAAGCAGGCACGTTATGTTCAAAAAAGCCAGAAATGGTTCAGATGAAATATTTTTAATTTAAAAAAAAACAGTTAATTTCTCATAAAGCAGGCACGTTATATTCAAAAAAGCCAGAAATGGTTCAGATGAAATATTTTTAATTTATTTGAAATGATATTTGACTGCTTGAAATGAAGTGTAGATTTTTGGGTCACACACTTACCTGTGCCTTTGTCCACGTGTAATGATGAGTCATCAGTTTCGTCTTCAGTACTATTTGAAGTCGTATTCAGAAATGTAGTCTTGCTACGTAAGTGATGTTTTGTTAGTGATTTGCGTTGAATAGACGAGTATTCGTTGCTGCTTGTAGAGTCCCAACTGCTTTCCAGACCAGATGTCAGACGAATCTAAAAAATAACGTTCCCCTTTCAGAACGGAAAGGCGTCCACTTTCAGAACGTCAGATCGTGTATACGATATCCTGCCATAGAAATGATAGTGTGTGAGGACGAGCCCTCAATCGACCTCTATCTTCAGCTCTACCATATCGCCTGACCGATTTCGATTGCGAAGTTGAAACCACTCGAAGGGTCTAGACGCAAAAAAGCGGCCTTGAGTCGCGAAAAAGCTCTGCTTAACAAAAACAAATGTGGAATTTGGGAAATAATACGGATGGATTATCCTTACATACCACTGTTAGGGTCTGCTGTTAGCTCCTCTGCGATTCGCAAGAAGCACCATTATGAAAACCACAGACTTTGGACAGTTTCATGATGAAAATGAAAAGTTTTTAGAATGAAAAGTTTAACTGAAAGAAACGTTTCCGATAATGGTTGTTGCAGAAGCGGCGGCTCCTTAATTTTTTGGTAAGAGTACTGTTATCTCCTTGAAAAAAAATGATTATCTCAAAATTTTTTACTCACTCAATTTAGTAGAGAAACAACTAAGGTTTTAAGCGAAGTCAATTTTTGAAATCACATTTTTCGTGCCGCATCGATATAGCAAATTCTTTCAATATCAGGCACATACCTGCCCTTAGTTGTTTTTTATCTTAACATACGAAAATTTTGTTTCACTTTCAACATTCAAACCTTTGTTGTTTATTGTTTGTGTTGTATCACAAGTGGTAAAAAGTATGGCTTCGCCTCTGTTTATGATAGTTTAGTGGAAGCTACCAGGATTCTGTTCTATAATGGTAATAAGTTTGATTTTTCTGTGTGCGAAGCTTTCAGTGCTTTTTTGCCTTTTGGTTCAAGAATAACCTATTTTCCCGACTGTCGAAGAAGGCTTTCGAATGTATGTATATACTCGGGTTTTTTCTGACCAATTTCGAAATGTTTTTTTTTTTCAAGTTTTTTTTTTGGAAAAACTGAATTGCGAGTCTATTGTTTTTTTCTGAAACAGCTGAATTCTCAGACTATCGATTGTTTTTTGGAAAAGCTGAATTGTTGGACTATCTATGATTTTGTGTTTGACGAAAGCTGCGGCAAAAAAGTTTCAGCTGCTAGCGTACAAAGGTATACTAATGTTGTATTGCAATTATCGAGAAGCTCTGCTTCGCCTCTGTGTTTGCTAGCCATATGTAATAGCTAGCCATAATTCTAATTTGTATTGATGCTGACAGTTTGGTTCTAATGATAATTTACTAGACTTAAAATATATCACTTCGTGATAGAAATAATTCTGAACTAATTTTTCTTACAAGTCTGCAAGAAATTTTTTCTTTATTATTGAACTTGACTGCTTCTAGGCTCCTTCCCAGTTGATCTAGAGGTAACGCGGTTGCCTTTACACCACTAGGGCTAGATTTCGAGTACCGGCCAGACCTTGTTTTTTTTCAGTACGTATGAAACTGATTTTTTTTCCGTGAAAAACTCAATGGTCGAAATTTTGCTCTGACTTAGTATATTTATCTTTCTTTTTTTTCGCATCAAAATTTTTATGCGGCCTAAAAAATTCTGGTTTGTTATATCGAATTAGTCATTTAATTTTTGCGTCATTTGAAGGCTAAATATTGAGCAAAAATCTTCAGTTCATTTATACTTTTCCAGCTGTTCGTTGTGTTTTTAAACATTTCATTTTCTTCTGATTATTAGGTTCAGAAAATTCTGTGCCACATGAAAGCAAAGAATTTTGAAAATAATTATCAATTTTCATCCTTCACACGACGCAAAATCAAATGACTAATTCGATATAACAAACCAGAACTATTTAGACCGCATACAACTTTTGGAGACACTTGCACTTGTAACATAACGGGGACAATTGCACTTGCTTCATTACCTTTGCGTTGTTAATTCCATTGATCCACGTCTGAGCATTACTCGGAGACCCCACGTTTACCAAAAATGCAGACATTGCAATATTGCACTCATTCAGATACACCAGAGTGAAGTTGGCATTGGCAGGAAGTGGCGAGTTATTATAGGTCAAGGACACCTCGTTAGAGGTCAAGTTGATATTGGATTGGTTCTGGCTTAATGAGTTCACATTTTGGTCATTTTGATTGGCAGGTGTCACTGATTTGACGACTAGGTTTGACAATCTCATTGGAGGGTGCACAGGACGTAATTTTGAGCTGTTGATATTGCTATTGTTATTGTTGTTGGTGTTGTTTGATGATGAAGATGATATTGGATTGTTGTTCTTCTTGTTGACTTGTTTGGCGATAAGAAGAATGTCGTCGAATAGATATGTGTAGACTTCCATCTAAAAAGCGTAAGTTTTGTGATTAAAGAGAGAACTTTTTTTGATTTTTCAAAAGTAATTTTTATAACTTAAACTATAATTTCGAATCCGAATTTTTCTCGGTGATCTTTTTCAAAAATAAAAATTATAATTTTTAACTTGGCGGGAAAATGCGCGCCCGAGAACGAAACATTTTGTAATAAAGTTTTTCTTGAACAAAATCGTGAAAACGTTTGCTATTTTAGTCATCTTAATACATCATATTAAAGCTTTTTCATTTGTGATTCGAAGGACATTGTTATTATTTTTAAATGTCCCAAATTTTTAAAAAACGAATTTAAAATTTTTCGTTCAATTTTGAGCGAGAAAGCCTGGAGTAAGCGAGCAGGCTTTTCATAGAAGGATAAGTCATAAAATTTTAGTTTTTTTTTTCTAGTAGAATTACTTTTTGAAGTTTAATAGCGACATCTTGGGAATAAAAAACCTCAATAATTCGAAACAAAAATTTTTTTCAATAACTTTCTTTATGTTTTTTTTTGACAAAAACCTGTTGAACAATTTGCCTATTTTACTAAGACTGTAGAATTCCTGTCTTTCAGATCCTTTTATCAGCACCCCGTGCAAAAAAACTACTCTAATTTGAAAAAAATTTACGTTATTTGTTTTAAAGATTATGTTTGGAACATTCTATGCCACTTGCACAGCAACCGGTTATCCTTGTTGATTTTAAATTTTCAATTTTTTTAAGATTGATGAGCTTAGTTTATACTGAGCTACTGGCACAGCATCAGCTACTTTTATCAAATTTCTTTATAAACTTTGAACGTATGGAATCGGTAGTTAATCTGTTTTTTTTTCGCTAGGAAATCTGCAAATCGGATTCTTCAAAAAACAAGTCTATCACATTTTTGTGACTTTTAAATTTCTGCTGTTCAATACTGGAGTTTCTCCGCAATGAGGTTCCTTGGGTAACAATCGATTATAATTGTTTTTAGTGCTCAACGGGGGGCGGATATAGAATTTTCTCGAGGAGAGGGGCTTATTTTCGAAAAAATTTCAAAAATTTTTACGACCTTTTTTTAGGTCGACCAAATTGATTTTCTGAGCTCTCCTAAAGCAGTAAAAAACGCTGTTTTGGCTAAATTTTTTGCGCCCCAGGCAAATTTTTGAAAAAACAGATCAAAAATCCGTTTTGGGGACTTTTTCGAAAATTTTGACAAAAATGTCTTTTTTTTGGCGCGCGCTCCCCCTCAAAGTTAGTATATATTGGCGTCCAAGCCGCCTTTGAAAAATTTTAGGGTCGGTCGGTCAAAAATGAATTTTTTAAATAGTAGCAAAGGGGGGGGGGGGACCTTTTGGGTCTGCAGTGGGTCGAATCCCTGAGGGGGCGAGAGGCGTCAGCCCACCGCCCCACCCCCCTAAATCCGCCCCTGGTGCTCAAGTCTTGCCATTATAATCTGTTAAAACTACACTTCAAGACAACACTATCGATTATCAGCCACTATAATCCATAATTTCAAAGAATTGAAATCGATTATAATCCTTTCAAAATCCATTATAATGGAATCATGATGGATCATAATCTTCCTAAAATTTTTCCAACTTTTCAGCAAAATTGGCAATTTTTTCCACATTTCTAACAACATTGTGGATTTCTAGAACTACTGAAATCTTCTAGTTTTTTGCAGAAGTACGCAAATGTTTCAGCCTATCGATGTTACCAATGTAAGATTGGTAGGCTTAAATGTGGGTTAAATGGGCTAGGGGTGGTGATACCCCAAATAAAAAAAATATGCGAAAAAAATTGTAGAAAACATCAGAATATAACAATTCAACAAAATTTAAAAGCCAAATTTTAATCTAAATTAAGGGTTGCACTCAGGGGCGGATTTAGGGGGGGGGGGGGCGGGGGAGCGGACGCCCCCCCCCCCCCCCCCCCTCAGGGATTCGACCCCCTGCCGACCCAAAGGGTCCCCTTTGATACTTTTTCAGAAATCCCTTTTTGGCCGACCGACCCTAAAATTTTTCTAAAGGCGCCAAAATTTTTCTAGTTTTTAGACTTTCCAGGTTCTTGTGTAAAACAAATTTTAATCCATTATAATCTATTATAATCGATTCTATTGGTGTAAACTGATTTTTTTGTTTGGGTTATCATCAATTGTTAATCCAAAATAATCGATGATTTTAGAGATTTATGGAGGCAGAATTTGAAACACTATTATAATCGATTATTATCCATGGAACCTCTTACGGATTGCCTTTCTTTTGACAAAGGAAATGCACTGAACTTAAAATGAAATCAAAAGTCAAACGGCGAAACAATCAGTTTGACCGTTAACAGATTTCAAGACTTTTCCTGAGAAAAAAATAATTTGAAGACCCCTACAATAGTCTATTTTTACATTCACTACATTCAAAAATGAAAGTGAAGAAAGGCGAAAAGTTCGCAGTCAGTTACTTCTACGTTTCTTTTGCAGCTTTCTTTTCGTTAGATTGTTAGAATTGAACACGTGCAGCTTTTTGACGATTTTTTTCCTTCTTTTTTTTCCTTCTTTTTCAGTAGAAAGTCCTTTAAAACTGACTTTAAATTACTAAAGCATTGATTATCAGGTGATTGTTAACATTTTATGAGACAATTTTTAACCATTTGTTAAAAATGTTTCAATGCGGATGAAAACATTTTTTAGCAGTGCTTCAACATCCAAATTAAATACAAAGCTGTAAAAGCATCTGTTAATGAGTTAAAAAATCGATTAACGATCAAACTGAAAGACGTCATTTTTTTTTGTTCACAAGTAATTCAATCATTTATAGAGAAAAAGGGCACAAAACAGGTAATAATTGAAAGTGATTTATATGTTTTTTTTTAATATTTAAGCTCGGTTCCATTAGATGGTTAATAAGTATATCTTTTGTGACAATTTTCAAGTTAGTTTCACTTTGAATTTCGGTCTTAAAAAAATTACGGAACGGAAACATTCTAAGCATTGTTTTTCAGCTTCTGAAACCAAAGATAATAAAAACTATCAATAAACTATAGTTAACTACCAGGAAATATCAAATTTAATTAATAATACTCCTGGGTTCCACAAACACAGAGTCACCCAAATTAAAAAATGCCCTGAGGCAATCTATAGTTCGTGGTAAGGGGCGCGAAGACTTCAAAGAAATAACACAAAAAAAACATAAGTAAAAGCCTGGTAACACGAAAATGAAAAACCAGTCGTGAGAGCAAAACATGATAGCAATTCAAAAATTGCATAATAAAAGGAAGATCGGACAGGACATATCAAAAAAATTTCAGAATGAAGCGAGCTCTCTCTTCTGCTAGATTTTTTAAGTGTTACCTTTCCCCTGGAACCCTCCTTGAGCCTCCACGGTCCCTCGATCAACAACTGTCTGAAGGAGGGTTGGTTCGAGGGCGACGTTGCAGAGTCTGAAGACAAGGTCAAAACTGATTCTCCGTTGGCAGAAGACTCGAATGTGTTGAGTTTGTTGATATAGTCGTATTGCATATCTGGACATGCGGGTGATACTGGAGATGATGTTTGGTATGTAGACAGGTCAAATCTAGAGTACTTTTCCACTGCCTGAAAGAGCTTTTTTTAGTTATTAAATTCCAGCATCAAAATTATTATCTATTAATGGTAGTTTGACGAGTGTATTCCACTAAAAAAAATTAAATTCGGTTCAAACCTTCAAACCTTGTTTGTTCGAAAAAAAATAAATTTAACTTAATATAATAGCAGCGGATCGACACAAAAGGTTACTTCCTATGCTATCTAATGTTTAGGGTGGGCAAAGTTCTAATTGTAAAAGGTACACTGATTGAAAATCAGAAGCGCATTGACAGATTGGAAGTTTGCATAACAGATTATATCATTTTTTGCAAGTATTACATAAAACTTTAGATAAATATTTGATAAAAACTGAGGTTTTTGAATTATTTTGATGGTAGTAAAATTGCACCTGATGATGATGATGATGATATGTTAGTTATTACACTCTCCCGTAACCTACCCTGTTAAGCTCTTCGCTCTGGAAGTGGTTGTCTTGCAGGTCGAATGGCTCCAGTCTGTCCTGGATGGAGAGAATCTTCTCCTGCTCCGACTGTATCCGCAGAGTACTGTTCACATCGAACAAGAACTGCTGCGCCAAAATCATCTAAACAACAAACGTCTAATAAAATATATATTTTTTTCTATCTCGAACAGGGATCAAGGTGATCAAAAACTATTAATTTCTCGAACATCAAACAGTTTTCTCAATCTCGAATCGTTTTCTCAATCTTGAACAGTGATCAAACAGTGATCATAGCCAGAGCCGGACTATGGTCCTTTTACCATAATTTATGGCCAATCCTTGCTGATAGACACACTTACAGTTGATATGACACATTTACTAGCCCAGAAAGTTGAGTAAAAATCATGTGAAATAAGTTTTTTCATCACAGACGTCACAAAACATGTTTCCGATGGGAGCCATTACAGTGGAATTTTTCGATTTCGAGGTTTCATGAATACCGCTTTAAAATATTTTGATGTTCTACTACGTTTTCAACCTTGAAAATTGTTATTTTCCTCTCCAATTTTTCAACCTATGACATCATCAAGGTCATTATTTATGTCATAGCATGCTTTAGAGTTCTAGTGCGTCATTTTCAACTTTTGAATTGATTCAATCACACCCAATTCAATTGAAAAGGCAAAATTGAACTAAATGTCAGTCAACTGAAATGGCGTTTGATTTCAAGGCGTCATCGCGACTCGAGGTCTTTTTATGATGGTTTGATTAAGCTAAGAAGTACAAAAGAACAAAAAAATTAAGACATAGTTGAACAAAAAAAGTCTGCAATTATCATTTTTTGGCTCTTTTTCTGTTGTACTCCCCTTCCGCCCCCGCAATTTTTTATAATACTAGCCCATGCTATTATGACTAAATAAGTATTTTTATGATGAAAATCAAATATGTTCAGGAGATGCAATTTTTTCAGCATGAATTCTTTTTTCATTCTGACAACGTTTCTGAGGCATATCTAATAAAACGCAGGCGAATCCAATTTCTGAGTAAAGTGGCGGTGTTTCAAAAAAATCTGAAGAGTTTGTCGAATTTTGAGGCCAAACAAATTGATTTTTTAGCTCTACAAGAACGGATTTCAGTTTCACTAAAAAATTGCAGGAAGAAAATCGTAGTTTACACCCCCCTTTATTCCCCCGTTCACCCCCCTCCTCGTTCACCCCACCCCCTCCCTGCCAGTTTACCACAAGCGCTATTAGCCCTCTCCCCTAATTGTTGAACATGGGGGGATTATTTTTTGGTACACTTCGGGGAAAGGGGGTTAATGATTGACATCCCCCAGTTTACCCCCCCCCCCGTTAACTTTCCCCCCAGTTAACTCCCCCCATTAGGGATTTAATGGAATTTTATTTCAAAGATAATCGATTATAATGAGTTATCTTGGCAAAAGTAATCGATTTCCCAGCAAAAGTTAATGGATTATAATCGATTATAATAGATTATAATGGATTTTTTTTCAACAATAATTGATTATTATTATAATATAATCGATTTCGCAACAAAATAAATTAAAAAAAAAAACGAAACAAAGCTTTGAACTTAATCATGGCTAACAGACAGTTGGAAGAACGACAGTTGATAAAAAATAAACCAAATTACTGAGTCAATAAGAAACACTTTTAGGCTCTTTTTCCTTTTCCCCCCACCTGCAAATTTTTATATTTGAAGTTACTGTTCACTTTGTCCGATTGTCATGCAAATTGACATGCAGACTAATTAGGCCATAACAAACATATTTGGTCTTCACAATTAACCTTGTAAAACCACTCGTTAGACCATAAAGTTCATGTTTGAGTGAGGTGGGGGGGGGGGGAGGAAAAGGAGCTTCAATGATAAAGTACACTCGCGAATAGAATTATTTGAAACAAATTTTAAAATGTGTCTAGGCGGAGCAGTTCATGAGTCTGGTGGGTCTGCCGGCCATAGCCATAGTGGAGTTTGCCTTCCTTTTAACAATGGAAGTACACTGAACTTAAAAAAAAATCGTAAGTCAAACCGCGAAAAATCAAAACTGAGCGTGAACAAATTTAAGACTTTTTCCTGAAAAAAAAAACAAAAAAATCAACAAGCCCTGTTTGAGAGTACTCACTACGTTCATTACTCTTAAACATAGCCAACTACCAGTTGGAAAAGAGTAATGAACGCAAGGAAACAGAAGAAAAAACTGACTTGTTTTTTCGAGCGCCTTCAACTTTTGAATTTCGAAGTAAAAAAAGATGGCCTTAAAGCTATTTGAAATTGTGGAGCAGTTTATGATGGGCACTTTTTTGTTAAAATTAACTCAATTTGAGAAAACCCGATCAATACGTAAAACTTTTATTTCGCTGGGAAATCTGATAATTAATTTCCATTTTCAAAATTTAGAAGTCGATCACGTTTTTCATGATCTTTACACTTTTGCTGTTCGATAGTGGAGTTTGCCTTCCATTTTATAAACGAAATGAACTGATTAGAATTAAATCAAAATCAAACTGCGAAAAAGTAAATTTAAGCCTGAACAAATTTCGAAGTTTTTCCTGAAAAAAAAAGACCACCACGACTTATATTAAAGTCTGAAAACGTTGATCGACTCTTCAAATTTTTTGCCAATCGTTTTAGGAAGGTTATTCGTCAAATTGCGCTCTTACATTTTAAGATTAAGTTAATCGCTCTGCTCCGCTAAAAAAACAAGATTTTCAAACTTAACTGGTGGGAGACTTTTATGCATCTAGTATAGCAACCAGCAGTTCCTGTCATTTTACGTGAGAGGAATCCCGACCGACACACAAAACTTAAAGAATATCGATGTCCTTTTAATTTAATTTTTTGTTGTCAAGAAAAATTATCGCGGATGCCAAAAAGTTAGCTGGCTTTGTGCAGGTATCAATCAATCAAGGATATATAAAATTGCATAATTCAAGCTGTTCTTGAAAGATTGTTTTTAATTTTAAAACGTATTAGCTCAATCACAAAAATTTTGTCACCTTTTGGGGAAAAAATAATATCATGCAATAGACAGCAACATAAAGCATGCCTTAGTGCAACTAAGTTCAACTGACCCATCCCTTATCTGCGGGTTACTTTTGCCAAACACTCACCCCTGATTGCAGCTGTCGCTTTTCCTGTTCGCAGGGGGAGTGTCTGAGGATGGCCTGGATGAGGAGGGGGTACTGGGCCAGTCGCTGCATCGGCTTCACCAGCAAATCCGTCAGCTTCAGTCTCTCACACACCCTCTGGCTCTCACACCACTAAAACAAACACATTTGTCAACTAAGCAATTTTTTGAAAGCCCCACCCCAACCGTGAAAACATTAGTCTATTGAGTCTATTTCGTGCGAGAGTACTCAATTTTTGAAAAACTTTTCTAAAATTTACTATTTTTGAAGGTGCATAAAAACTAAGTTTTGTTTCTAATATCTCGCATAACCTTCATAACTGGCTAATTTTGCGATGCCATGGAGATTTTGTGATGCCATGTTTTCGGTATGCTTCTTATGTTTAGCGTCCAGGGCTTGTCACTATGCCATCTAGAAACTAATCTCAAATTATTTGTACTCACAGCGACGAAGAACTTGAAGATCTCGTTTCTTTTGTACATGTTCCTTGCATACTGTGTGCAGGACTCCTGTTCCCTAATGTACGACAAATGCGGCACAAAGAGAGACTTAATCTGAAACACAAGTTCAAATTTAAGTTCAAATTCATGTCGTTGAGAAGATGCAGAAACATTTTTGTGACTTAATTAGAATAGGTAATTCGTCATTTTTAAAAAAAATTTTTCGATTCAGCAAACTGGGAGAAAAACTGAATAGTACTAAATTTAACTAAATTGTCCCCAATTACTAAATTGTCCCCAATTACTAAATTGTCCCCAATTACTAAATTGTCCCGAAAATCATTTGGCAAAATATTCTTGAGTAAAAAGAATACGGTAGAACTTTTCTGAAGGTTTTTGGCAACATAACGTTCCTCTCAGACTCACGCTCCTTTTGATCATATGAAAACTTCCAGATCGAATCTTGAAGATTTTCAACAAAAAATATTATCAATTTTTTTTCAAAAAATCTTGTGTTCGGGTGTTTTTAGTTTTTTTTCAGGCAAAATCAAATTGCACAAGTAATTATTGGAATGGGTCGAGTGATATATCATATTGAAGCCCATTTTTTCTTGATTCAAACGTCATTAAAAATTTTTCAAACTTTTCAAACAAGGTCGAGAAAAACTGGTTTGAAAATTTTGAGATTTGCTCTAGTAGGGCGATCAAAAAATGCTCGTTATAAAGAAATTCACTGTTTTTTTAGGATTTCACTTTAAAGAAAACCAGTTTTGGATATTTGATTTAGCGCTGGTTCGCAAGTTTTTTAATTTCGAAATATTATGAAAAAATATTTTACAAATTTTAAAGTTGTTTTCTTTTTTTGTTCATTTTTGGAGACAAATGTGTTGATCTTGCCTAACCTACTAACTTTTTACGCAATAGTATAGTTCTCGAATTCCACCAACTAATGAAAACGAAACTAACTTGTCAAAAAAAAACTTTTTTCTTCTATTTTTTTTAATAATATGTTCGGAACATTCTGTGCTATTTGCACAGCAACCGCCTAGTCTTGTTTTATTCTGCTTATAAATGATTAATTAAAGAAGTGTACAGTTTCAATCTAAACGGAATATAACTTTCTTCTTTTTCAAAAAAAAAATGAAAAGTATATAATTTTTTGTCGGGTTAGTTTAACTGTTAGCAAAAAAAAATTCTATGTTTGATAGACTTATGTCAAGTAAATTATGACACTTAGATGGTTGCCGTTCTCAGGACAAAATGAACCAAGAGCAGAGCAAGCCCAAAACCATTTTTTTTCTTCGTGGTGGAAATTAGTTGTTTTACAAATTGGTCAGCAATTTTTTGAGCTTTGAAGTTTTTGGATCCCAAAATGGCGCTAAAAAACCTAAAAACTAATTTTACTTGAGCAAAATTAAGTTTTTACGGCATAAGTTCAGCATAAATAAGCTTTTGTAGGCATACATGGTCGCCTCATTAGCTCGAATTTAGACCAAAAACGAAAAATTCAAACCGGTTTGAACTAACCATAAACTAATTATTGTATACCAAACTCACCTAAAACAAACGTAACTCGGTTCTAAAATAATTCAACGAAACTAATTTGTTTTTTTTTGTTTCAAAACTGGGACTAAATTTTCATACAATTTTTAATAATGTGTCGAATCACAACTGAGAGGGTTTCAATATCTTACATCACTAGATCCATTTCGATGATTGTTTGTGTTAACTGGTGTGCCTGAAAAAAAAACTAAAACCCCCATTTACACATTTCAATTTTCGGAACGCAAGAGCAAGAGCAAAATAAATAAAAATTTGATTGTTCATTGGGAAAATTATTTGTATCTGAAACCGAAACTATGGTCACAGATCTTGTTCTTCAAATTGTGTTCATCAACATTTAGCTTTCGCTTATTTCTTGAGATATTTCCCACTTAGTATGACTCAAAATAATTTTTTTGAATATTTACGAAGAAAACTTTTACACAATATTGGAAAATTAAAATTCAATGGTGCTAAATTTCAATTGTTGTCAGAGTTTACGACAAAAAAGATGATTTGGAGGGTAATTGAGGCTCAACAAAAATCATTTTAAACTAGAGTACCTTAGTATCTCAAAACAATTCGAGCCTAACATTATCCCTTGTTTATCGTAAAAACAATACAAACATCAAAGAACCAAATAATAGTTTTAATTATGGGACAAAATGGCATAGAACAAGCTGTTATGAAGGGGCAAATTGTCCTAGTACAAGTTATGATGTAGGGCAAATTATTATAGGGCAAGTTATCATAGGGCTATTCGTTCTGGGGCAAAAAGTCCAGGCACCGAATGTATATGCGATGTTTGAAATGTTGACTACCAAGTTCAAATGTACAATTTTGCTTCCAGCTCCGTTATGTTATGGGGGATGGGTGCTGAAAATTGCCAATTTGACCGAGAGTATTTGATGTTATTAGCTCATTAAGAGAAATAATTTTTTCTTTTGGTGCTTGATATTGCTGGTTGGGCGCGATATTGTTCACTCCTTTTTCATATAAAAAATTTTGAATCAAAATTTTCGAAAATTTTAATTTAAGCAGTCATGAGAATTTTTTTCTTAATCATCGATATTAAAGCACCGCTATATTTTATTATGTGTCAACAATTAAGATAACAAGACTGTTCGTATCAGAGCAAAGCCCTGAAAGTTCCGGCTGCCTTTTAAGCTCTATGGAGCAGTAATAACATGACAAAATTAAATGTAATAAGAGTAAATGATTTTTTTAAATTTAAGGTTTACTGTGAAAATCATCCCCCAAGGCCATATAAAACTCAGTGTGATAGATTTTGCTTCTAGTAACAAATCAATTGTGGCGAACAAGTTTCCTTCAACGAGCTTGGATCGATTTCCAAGATGGATTAAATCTCAGCTTACACGTTAATAGCGCAAAAATATCGCGCATTAGTAGTCCCATATTGACAAAAAAGGTCATCTTTAAGCCCCCATAATTTTACGAAAAATGATCACATGTGAAATTTTTTTTTAAAATTAAGCTCAGGACAACAATAACTTTTGAATGGTATAAAAAAAATCTGTCAAAAAAATGGCTAGTCAAAACGTCGAAATTTGTCTGAAGACAAAAACCACCGACCACAAAAATTCCGTTTCTTTCGTACCAAAAGTCTGAGTAAAAGGTCAGAGTTTGTCTGAAGAAAAAAACCACCCGAGCACAAATAATCGGTTACTTTCGTTACAAAATTTGGAACAACAATAACTCAATTGAGTCTTCAATTGTGTCAACTAAATTGTTGACATACCTGATAAAAAATTACGCTGCTATATCATCGACTACACGGCTCATATCTCCATATCAGGGGCGGATCTGGGATTTTCTCGAGGGGGGGGGGTTGTCGGATTTTCAAAAAATCCGCCCCCCCTTTTTTGGGTCGACCAAATTGATTTTTCGAGCTCTCTCAAAGCAGTGTTTTGCCTCTATTTTGGCAAAATTTTCTGCGCCGCAGGCAAATTTTTGAAAAAACAGTCAAAAAAGCCGTTTTTGGGCACTTTTTGAAAAATTTTGACAATTTTTTTGGCGCGCGCTACCCCTCAAAGTTAGTATATATTGGCGCCAAAGGCGCCTTTAGAAAAATTTTAGGGTCGGTCGGGCAAACATGGGTTTCTGAAAAAGTATCAAAGGGGGGACCCTTTGGGTCGGCAGGGGGTCGAATCCCTGAGAGAAAAGGCGTCCGCCCCCCCGCCCCCCCCCCTAAATCCGCCCCTGCTCCATATCATGGTTCAGCAAAAAAGTCACAAAACTTCTCCGAAATTGTTTTAATGACATCAACAGTTTAAGATTACAAAAAAAAACTGAACAAAAACTGACTATTCTGGGATAAACTTTCTCCAAAACTGTTTCAATTGTCAATTAATATTAGATAATTTTATAGTTAAAGCTCAGTGGTTTTTATTGGTCTGAATAAGAATTGTAACTAAAAGTAAAAGTATAAATAATCCGACTATAATCATTCGTTGAGATTCTTTTTTCTGTTGCTCTTCTTTCTTTCGTTTCTCTTCGGCCGTTTTTTTCTTCCGTAACTCCTCTAAAAAGTGTTCCTCTTCCTCCTCGAGTCGTTTTTGTCTCAACTCTTTTTCGCGCTCCTTCTTTTTGACTGTTTCCGGGTCATCTGACTTTTCGTTCAAAACATTTTTTCCGTCTTTATCCGTGTCGCCATTCTGTGATTTCGGCTCAGTCGCCAGTTTTTGATCCCTCGCTTTTTGCTTCTCGGTTCTGTTTCTCTCGAACCGTTCTCGCGCTGCTTTCCGTGGAGCACTTTCTTCTTTTTCTTGATTCTCACTGGCTGAGTTTTTGTCATCCGTTGGCGGTTCAGTTTCTGATTTCACAGCTTTCTCGGGACGCATATTAAGCGAAGAACTTTTATCAACGGTTTTGTCTTCGCTTGCGTCTTTTTCTTTCTCTTCTCGTTTTTTGTCGCCTCTTTCATCTCTTTGAGTTCGGTTGTTCTGTCTCTGTGCTTTGGGATCTAAACCATTTGCTGACGCTTTTTTCGTTTCAATTTTTTTGTCATTTGAATCATTTTCCCTCGACTTTGCTTGAGTGCTTCCGATTTTCTTGTCTACGAGAGAATTGCTTTCTGAAGACTCTTTTGCAGCTGATTCCGATTTAGTTTCATTTTCTGTCACTTGATTTGTTTTCTCATTCTGTTTTCCATCTCTTCTTGCTCGGTCGTTTCTCCGTTGTGCTCTTGTATCTAACACTTCAGCTGTCGAATTACTTTGTTTTTCGGTTTTGCTGTCATTCGGCGGATTCTCTATCGGCTTTTTAGCCTCTGTATGCTTTTGCGTTCTTGAGCTAATCTCTTTTTCTGATTCTTTTTTATTAGAACTGCTTTTTGAATCTTCATTACGGGTTGCTGAATTTGGAGCTTGACTAGATGCATTTTCATTTTCAGGATGTTTGCCGGAAGTTTGCTTTTCTTTTTCTGCTCGCCGCTGAGCGTCCTTCAGCTCACGTTCTTTGCGTCTTTGAGCTCTCGTGTCCAAAATCTCTGAAGCAGATTCGACACTGTTTTCGGCCTGGGAAACGTTCGTCTGTACTTGGTTCATTTTCATCCCAATTACATTCTCTTGATCAGATGAATTTGTTTCCAACTTTTCGCCAATTTTTTCAGCTTTACTTGCAGTACTTCCCGAATTACCCATGGTAACATAATTTTGGTTCACGCCTAATTTTTCATCAGTTTTTGTTAATTTTTGAGATGGTTTTTCTAACTTTTTGTCTTCAGATGATTTTTCCTTTTCTTTTTTCAAAACTGATTCTATCTTTTTGTTAACTCCAGTTGAACTTTTGTCGTCTGAAGTGTTTTTATTCGTACCTACAATTCCTCGCCCAGCTTCTGTTGTATTTATTTTATTCTTTTCTGCATTTTCTTTTGATGAAAGCTGGTTCATTTTAATTTGGTTTTTGACCGAGTCATCTTGAGCCGCGTTATTATTCGGCGCGCTGGTAACTTCCGATTCTTTTGTATTTTTGGCTGTAATGTTCTTGTTCTGACTGGATGTTTCTGTCGTTTTTTCCGACTTCGTTTCCGTTTTTTCCGCTTCGTTTCTGTTATTTTGAGCTTCTTTCGTGATCTTATCGGCTATTGATGAATTTGCAATTGAAGTTTTTTTTAATGTCTTCAACGGCTTTTGATCATTTTCAGCTTTAGTTTCTTCAAGTTTTTTGGAAAAAGCTCCAAATCTATCTGAAATTTTACTACTTTTTGAGGGAAATTTAGACGCATTTTTGGATTCAGTTTTATTGTCAGGGTCTGTTTCTCCAAGTTTATGGGTTTTTTCTTCTTTTTTGGTATCATTTGATTCGCAATTCGAGCTTTCATCTTTAGAACTCGAAGCTTTTTTGTTTCCAATGAGACCATTTTGTTTTTCATTTTCATTCAGAATATTTTTTTGCTCTTCAATTTTGTTCACGTTGGAATACAATCCTTGCTTTCTCATTCTTGGAGCTGAACTTTGAAGCTGAGCTTCTGAAGTTTGATCGATCGAATCGTCAGTTATTACAATATCTGGAGTTTCGGGAGCTTTGAAACGTGGTTGTAAATTGTGCAGTGGTTCTTCAATTGCTTTTAAATTGTGCTTTGTAGAATTTGGCAGTTTTAAACTGTCTAAATTCAAGCCTGTGTTCGCAGATCTATCTGCTTTTATGCTAATGGTATTTTCAGTCGCAATTCCTATTGGCTCAGAAGTGTTATCAGGAATTGTGCTAGGAGCGGGTGTATTTGAAAGACTTAGCCACGAATTAACATAGTCGAGATCTGTCGGTACGTCCGAAAACCAGCTATCAATTTTGCCCTCGCCAAAAAGCTCGGCTACGTCTAAATTTCTGCTAAATGCTGCTTCTGTGCAATCTGAACCAGCCGTTGAGGCGTTGTCCGAAAAAGGGCTCAACAGCTGACCTTGAGATATGACCCCTAAGTCGTTTTCCTGAAATGATAGATGCCGCGACCTTCGCTTCTCGGCTGTGTCTGTCGTCTCGTAGAAGTTCCTTCTAATACCGACTTCGCTTGACTTCTTACGTTTTGACAAAATTTCCAAATTACGAATGATTTTTTCCTTCGGCTTGAAACGCATTTTCGGGAATTCGGTTATGAGAGCATAAATTAAATTCCGTTCGGTTACATTTCGCACGGCTTTCGAAATAGGTTTCGGTTCGTTTGTGATGCATTCGACGAGAGCGGTTTTCACTTCGTCGAATGTCACCGAAGCGCCTCGTTTGTATGCAAAAATGAGGTTTAAAAGAGAGGGTAAGTCTACCTTCCACACGACACGAGATCGGCGTCGTTCGGGTAACACAGCATCGTCTGTGTCGCTCTCGCTCGCCATTTTTCTAATTTTTTGGTAGAAAAGTTAACCAACTATCAAAAATTCTTCAAACTGGACTACTTTCATTCAATTGTCCATGTAAATGGTTTTTTGAATAGTTTAAAATGTATTTTTTCATCTTTCAGATTGTTTATGTTTCTGAACAGATATTGGATCAACCGTACAATTTCACCTCAAATCAATTTAGGAGGGATAAAATACCGGTATAAAATAGCTGTTCCGTATAAAAAGTTTTCTTGTTTTGTATATTCTGCGCACTTGTTTGAAGTTAAAATTTTACGCGGAATTAAATTTCAGAATTAGTACATGATTGCAGTGGACATTCTACGGTACCCGTATTGACAAGAAATGAATTACATGCAATTTTAAACTGATAATGTAGCGGAGACTTAAAAAAATTGATTTGAACCGATATAAAATTGATTTAGTTTAACACAAAAATGTTGCTTGAAAATCAATTTAAATCGATTCTAAATCGATTTAAATTCTTTTCTGTAAGCGTTTTTGGTTTCATTTTCCTACGAATTTGAATAGCGATTAAAGCCACTTCAAATCGATTTTAAACTACTTTTTTGTCTACCCATTTTTGCATAATACCTACATAATATGTATGTACTATGCAAAAAAATGGGTAGACAAAAAAGTAGTAAAATATTAATTTGAATCGGCTTTAGCCGATTTTATTGTTATCAGGTTTTCTAGACTATCAAACAACTAAGAAAGGGTGGAAATAACTTTTTAATATATGCTTTTAATTTGAGTTTTTGTTTTGATGTTTGGCCTGAAAATAAGCTGAGGATAACTACTATCTACATTTTCTGCTGCAAAATTTTTTTTCTTATTTGATGTTTTCAATTATATGGTGTTTGCTCATAAATGTTGAGATTTGAATGTTGATAATAAAAATGACATTTGAAAAATCTTTGCTCAGCATGAAAAGGTACAAAACGGCGGTACAAAATTCTCCTGCAGTGACTCTTGCTCTGTAGCTTTCCTTAAGATTTTCTTGAGTAGAAAAGTGTGCTAAAGCTTTGAATCTAAAAATAGTTATGTTAAATCAATATAGTTGAGATTTCGACAAAAATCTATTTTAAAGCCATTTTTTGAGCAAAAAAAATATTTTTGTTTATCGTAAAATCCATTTAAAACATTCTAAATCGATTTACGCATCTAAATGGGCTACCCTATATTGATTTCTATACAGTATTTTATCTGTATAAAATCGATTCAAACCGATGTAAAACTAAAATTTATCAGTGCGGGTAGGTCACTTAAGGGGAAAATGTACGGTTGATCTCAGGTATTTTCCAATCTTTTGAAGAAATTTTGTCAATATTTTGAATATAAATTTTCATAGTATGGACTTTTCTCACGAATTCTTATAACTAGAAACTTCAGATAAATTCAATAATGAGCTCTGCGGAAATCTGATTTTAGATTTCAATTAAGTTTATTTCAAGGCCTTCTAAGCCAAGATATTGCTCAAAAGGAAATGCTTTAACTGTAAAACAATTTTGCCGCAAGCTGGCTTTATTGAGACCGGGTGCATTGCATTTTCTTTGAATTATGATCAGTTTCTAAATTGTGTTTAAACTTTATGAGAGCTTTTTTACGGTCCGATAATTCAGATACGTAAATTGAATCTGAAGTTGAAAATACAGTTCCTTTGGTATAGCTTAAAGGCAAACAGCAGCAAAATTATGAAGAAATCAACAAAGAAATTGTAAAACTGCGCTTTTAACTTGAAGGACTAACATAAATCTATTGATCCGTAGACAGCTACACTTCCTGCGCTTGTGAAGTCAATTTATGAAAATATCTACAGAAAAGTTAAATTTCAGGGAAAAGTAGAGGAATTCACAGTGATTTAATTCTTTGAGCCGTTTTGGCTGGAAAATTTGAAGGCAAATGTTCAAATTATTTTCCTAAACATAGTTACAACTACATATAAGATTACCGCCCAGGCAGCAGAATGCCAAACTTGACCAATATCGCGCCTCTTTGGTGCTTCAGGCAAGGTCTTACATGTCTCGACCAATTTGTCAACAGCGGTCGTCAAACCGAGAAACGAAACCGTCTACGTTTCTAAAGAATTAAATTTAAAACGAAACTTCAAACAAACAAAAAATAAACTCAATTCACTCTTTTGATCAAACTAGAAAAAGTTACAGCCTTAGCTGTGTTTCTTCAATTTTTTGAGCGAAGTAAAATGAGTGCACCGTGGTTCCAATGGTTGCGGTCGCTGCAACTTTATAAAAGGTCACAACCTTCGAAAAAAAATCGCTTAAAAAATTCGATTTAACTCACATTGTAAAAATATGATCACAAAAACAAAATTGAAAACATATTTCTAGACAGAGTAGAATAAATTCAATATTGCAGCCCTGCCCAAGTTCTTATCGCTGTTATAGACCACTGAGATTTGAATACCTTTGAATAAGTGGTGCCATATTTTATGGTCTTTGCAGTAACGAAATGATTCCCTGCTTTTCTTTTCTATAATACCTGTGGCTTTTGCCTCCTACCTTAAATTAGCTGAAAACCTGAACAAACATTCAGACTAACAAATATTCTTGGATTTATATGTTCAAGCAAGTTTAGGATTGCGTCGTTTTTATTATAAGTTCTGAGCCTGATCGGCATGAAAAGCCATAGCAGAAAATCCATAGCAAAAATTACTGATTTTTTTTTTAAATATCGGCTATCGAAATTCAAAAAAAAAGTACTCAAGGCCCCAAAACTGCTGTTTAATCCAATATTCGAAGAAAGTGAATTATTTTTTTTGTGCTCGGGATGTTTTTTCTCCAGACAAATTTCGAAATTTTATTTGGCTATTTTCGATAAAATTTTCATATCACCCAAATTTTATTGTTTTTACGAACTGTTTTCGAAGGACACTTGAGGTATGCAAACAAAAGAAGTTCGAGCGGAGTTTATTTCTTGTAAAGTTAAGGAGGCTTAACGGTTGTAAACTTAGCCAATTTGAAATATTCAGTTAGCGATTTCGTTTTTGCTATAAACGCGTGAGCGAAAACTTAATCCATACTAAAAATTGCTGCAAATTGGGTTGAAACATGCTATGTGGTCTTAATAAAACTTTATTATATGCAAAAAAATTATATCACGTTATAATTTACATGGCGTCTGTGGGATGGTTTTCAAAAAAAGTTCAAAATCGTTGAAACTTTTAATTTTGAAAATTTCATCATTTTTAAAAAGAAAACTACTCATAGACATTAAAAGTCGAAATATTCAAGGAATTGTTCTGATACGACGGTCTTGTTGAATTTTAAGAAAAAATTAGGATAAACTTTTGTGATAAAGTTAGATATCATTTGGTTTTTTTAGTTTTCGTGGCTGGAAAGCGCAATTCGCCCCTCTTTTAAACTTGAATTGAATTTTAAAAAAATGAAATTTTTAGCCACAAAAAATCAAATTTCGAAAGAAGGAATTTCAAAACTTTTTCTTGTAAAAAATCAAATATGGCTGGAATATGGATGTTTAAGGCAAGCAATCTCTTAGCAGGTCCGAATTAAGGGTAAAAATTAAAAAGATTAAAACATTGGCTGAAACTGGAGACAAAAAAAGCTACTAACGAGCGCTTGCCTCCTAAAGATTTCATTTTTATTTTTTCAATTCATTATTTTATATGGCTAGCAAAAGCAATGTCTTTTTAAAACTTCCTTTTCTGCACTTGTTTCTGTTTTTACTTTCATTTTCAATTTGCAATTATCGGCAATTAAACTCGCGCGCTTCTGTTCTTTAGTACCATCAATCTAAAAAATAATGAATTGACAGCGTGACATTACAAAAATTGTTGCTTAAAATAGTGTTTCACTGTTTTTTTATTCATAAGTTTCTCGAATATACTTTTCATGTTTTACGCATATCATTTTGCCATTAAAAAAGAAGACGGCTAAAAAAATAAAAAAGTTCAAATGGAAAGAAAAATCTTCAAATAGCGCTAAATTGAAAAAAATAACTAGAGTGAATCGCAAGACAAAGAATGCGTACAACTAATAATGAATGCGCAGAGATTGTTCAAAAAAAATTTATCCGGTTTTCCGAAAAAAGGGTTCGGCAAAAACATTTAACTTAAAAATTTTTACTTAAACTGGCCATAACAGTTTTTTGGCACAGTGTGTGAATTTTCGATATCTCAGGGTAAATTTTCGATGAAATGCTGGAAAGTTCTTGAAATAAATTTTGAAAAACAACGTGCAGCAAGCTTAATTTGCCGTGCAAATAATCATCTGATCAATCGAAAGTAGTATCTATTGTTTTTGCATTCGTTCAAAAAACCAAATTAGAGCCATTACTCATTGGCACGTCTTGAGATTGTTCTTGAAATGCCCCCGTTTTTACTTCTTCGTAACAGAAAAAATGACCACCGTTTATGTGGAGAAGTGCCATTGTCCAAATTTCTCTGACACTGTCTAAATATGATCACAAAAACACAATTGAAACATATTTCTAGACAGTAAAACAATATCAAAATTCTAGCACTGCCCAATCTCTTATCGCGGTTTTTACCACTCAGGTTTGAATACCTTTGGATAAGTGAGGCCATATTTTTAACGTCTTTGCAGTAAAGATACTGCAAAGATTTGCAGTAAAGAAACAATACCCTGCTTTTCTTTTCTGTAATACCTGTGGCCTACCTTTGTTGGCTACCCCAGCTTAAATGAGCTGAAGACGTGAACAAAAATGAAGACTGAAGACGTTCTTGGATTATATTTTTTAAACAATTTTTGTATTGCATCGGCATGAAAAAACAAAAGAGAAAATCGAAAAAATGTCAATGAATGCAAACAAACCACCAAAAAATTACTTTTTTTAAACATCAACTCTTCTATTTCAAAAAAGAATACAAATAACTCTACAACTTTCTGCTCCGACTTTTGAAGGAAGTGCCGTATTTGATGGAATCAGAAAATTTTTTCTCCGGAAAAATTCGGCTTTGTATTTATCTATTTTGATAGATTTTTGATATCATCCGAAAATTGTTATTTTTTCGAAGGTTTTTTGAAGTATGCAAAGAGAAGAAGTTCGACCTAACTTTTTTTTGTATAGTTAATGGAGGTTAAAGTTTGTAAATTTGGTCATTTTGAAGTATTTAACGAGCAATTTTGTTCTTGCTATCAACGCGTGAGCGGAAACTTAATCCATAAAAGAAATTACTCGAATTGGGTTGAGACATGCTATTTGGTCTGATTAAATTTTTACTATATGCAAAAATTATATCACTTTATAATTTACATTGTTTCTATGGGATGATTTTCAAAAAAAATTGGACTAGTTCAGAAACAATTAAACTTTTTTGGAAAATTTTAAATTCTTTAAAGCAAAACCTACTCCAGATGAATTATAAGTCAAAACAAAAAAGTTTCTACCGAGAGCTCGCCACATAAATAGTTGCAAATTTCCATTCATTGCAAATTTACATAAATGGCAAAAACAACGTCCTCTGAAAACTTCCTTTTTTGCAGTAGTTTCTATTTTTTTTTCTTTTATTTGTCATTTTTGATTTGCAATTATTGGCAACAAAACTTGTGCACTTCTGTTTTTTAGTACCATCAATCTAAGAAACAATGAATTGAAAGCCTGACATTAACCTAAATTTCTACCTAAGAGTAATGCTCTACTGCTGTTTTCCTACATGAGTTTCCAGAATCATTTTTGAAAATTAACGCATTTCAATTTGTCATTAAAGAAGAAGACGACCTAAATATTCAAAAAATCAAATAAAACGTCAAAAAACTCAAAATTTAATGTCCGGTAGGATCCATATTACAAATCCGATATATCCAAAATTTGGGTCGAATGTTGGAAAAACATCTGATCAGCTGTTTCTCCTTAAAATTTTGGCGCAATATTCAAAAAAGAGCTCGAGTAAATCGCATGTCAAAAATTTGCGTACAGCTATGCATGAATGTGCACAGAATATTCAAATTAAGGTTTTCCATCGAGTTTTCTGCCAAAAAACATCAACAAGGTTTCGGCAAAAACAAATAACTTAGTAATTTCACCTAATTTGAATATAGCAGTTTGAAACAGAAAACAATCGATATAACTAGGCTGCTTGCATATCATGTAAATCAGGGCAAAATCTCTAAATCGGCATCGAACAATTTAGTCGGCATCGATTAGATTTTTTTTTTAATTTTGCAACCATAATTTTTGACCATATCTTGCATCAAATGTGAAAGTCTGATTCGTGCAAAATTAATAAGACCAAACAAATTGCCCAAACTTTGCGCAATATTCAAAAAAGAGCTCGAGTAAATCGCATGTCAAAAATTTGCGTACAGCTATGCATGAATGTGCACAGAATATTCAAATTAAGGTTTTCCATCGAGTTTTCTGCCAAAAAACATCAACAAGGTTTCGTCAAAAACAAATAACTTAGTAATTTCACCTAATTTGGATATAGCAGTTTGAAACAGAAAACAATCGATACAACTAGGCTGCTTGCATATCATGTAAATCAGGGCAAAATCTCTAAATCGGCGTCGAACAATTTAGTATGCATCGATTAGATTTTTTTTTAAATTTTGCAACCATAATTTTTGACCATATCTTGCATCAAATGTGAAAGTCTGATTCGTGCAAAATTAATAAGACCAAACAAATGGCCCAAATTCAACGGTTTTTTTAGTGAGGGGTCTTTTGCTCGGCATAAATAATTCGCGCTAGGCCTTCAAGATCATAAAAAAATTTCACATCCCTCGAAAATCATTCAATGTCCAAATTAAAAATCTTCAAACCCCCAGAATAAATTTTAAAAAAATCAAATTGAACTCAGTGAGTCGAACTCATCAATGAGTTTTTAAATTTTTTGATAAAATCAATGAATTTGAACGACAAATTTTGACTAAATAAATAAGCACCAAAAGCATAAATGTTCCTCATTTTTTAAAAAAAAGTCCGAATATGTTCTCTTAATGTGCCCACTTAAAAGTAATCAAAAAAGAAAGATCGTCAAAGAAGAGAAGCAGTATTTTTTTACTTTGAAGTTTTATAATGACGTCGAAAATGTTTGAAACGTTTAAAAACGTTTTAGGGCAGTTTTGGACTTTCGTCTCGACCGTTAATCGTCTCCGATTCAAAACAGTTTTCCAGCGCTGATAGTGTAAGTGTGCTGATTTTTTGATATCTCAGAGTAAATTTTTGACAAAAATGTGGAAAATTGAATGAAAAAAAAATCAAGAAAAAAGTGCAGTAAGCTTAAAAAAATCATTTGCCCTGAAATATTTCAGCAGATCAAGCGTAAGTAGTATCCATAAATTTTGCATTTTATCAAAAACCCAAATTACAGCCATAACTTATCGGTAATTCGTCGCTGAAAACGTTGTTGCTATTGATATGCTTTGTCGATTAATACTGATGTTATTTGTAACTTGAATCAAGTCTTAGCTATACAAATTGATAAACTGTCAGAAGATACGTATATTTAAATTATATAAAAAATTGACTCCCGGATCGCTCAAACGGCGCCAATGGCTCGACCCCTGGATCTTTTTTCACCAACCCTAAAAGTTTTCCGAAAGCATTTTTCGTGCCAATACAATCCAAGTTTGCTGCCTCTACATTATTCCTACTTTCCAAAAATTTTCTGAGGCGACAAATGTCTGCCAAAGTAGGAGCGTTTTTGCCATAGTTTTTTCAGAAAGTTCGGAAAACCAAGTTTTTTATTTGAAAATGTCGAGAAAATCTGCACGTCTCGAGAAACCTCTTGACGTGCCCTCTTTTTCACTTCTTCAGAATAGAAAAAATTACCATCGTTCATTTGAAGAAGTGACATTGGCCAAATTTCTATAAAATGCAATATTTTTAGCCGGCTTCTCTCAACTCTGAGAATATTTTGGAAAATTTTCTTTCATATTAGTACATCCAGCACTCTATATTTATCTTGAGAGGTCAGCAGTATGTTGATTTTTCACCTTTCGTATTGCATAAATTCAAATTAATTGATATTATGAGGGTTATGCTCTATCACACTCGTCAAATGCACAAACCAAGCATCGAATTGGAGTATATGACTTGAAATTAATTAAAATTGAGTATTTTAAGGCAATGTCGGCAAAAATTTTTGAAAATTTGACCCCTCCTCCTCAAAAAATCATGCATCTGCTCACGACCAGAATAATATTTCACCCAAAAAATTTCTCCCCGGCTTGATTTTCAAGCAAAAAAGTTAATCATACAATTCCACACAAAAAACGCTCATCATACAATACCTTGCATGGGTGCAATAGAAAAAATTTTCTTATACAATTTCCACTTATGAAAATTGTATAATAAGCATTTTTTCCGAAGTTTTTTTTCTCAAAGCCTTTTAAAATTTTTTAGACTAGTTTAAATGAGAATAAACTTTCTGATTAAATGAGATTATATTGGCCATCAATAACCTCATTTTTGGACAAAACTGCTTATCATGCAATGCAAAATTTTCAAAAAAGCTTAATAAACATTTGTTCCTATGAAAAAATAGTTCAAAAGTTTTTCACAAATTGTTTTTAGGTAAATTCAAATGTGCATAACTTGGTAACTATCTGCTGTCTCTAAGTTGAGTGGTAAACATACAGGAACTACTGTAGCAGAGATCAAATCTCTAAAGATTTCTGGTTTTTTTTATCCTGAGAGACTGGCACGTTGCGCTGGGCTAAGATTTAAATTTTGCCTAATTTCATTTCTTTGATTTGGTTAATCAAAAAATTCAATTTTTTTTCAATTTTCGTCAATGAGATTGAATGGAAAAATGTTTATCATAAAATTGCATTGAAAAGAAAAAATGCTATTTTCGTTTTAAAAAATCTATAAACTTGAATGAGAAGCATTTTTTCCATGGTATGGAATTGTTTTTGTTTGATAAGCTTTTTGCAAATCGGGATAATGAAATTTAAAAAAAATTTATTATTCCTCTTCCATTAAAGCCCTCAGGTTTTCATAGAATAAACTTGACAAATTTTTTAGATAAAGGTCATTTGTTATTCTTGACACCTAATCAATTAAACCAAAAATCTCGTTAGTTTTGCGTTAGAGAAGATTTATTACCTGTTCATTTCCTTGAAACAGTGATTAACTCCATTTAGTTTATGAAAGTTCTTATTTTTTCCTCTTTTCTGTAATTTTGTATGCAATTAGATCTCTTCTCCTTAAATTTAGTCATAAATTTGGTCAGCTTAACTTCCGAAATCAATTTGCTAATACTGTCCAGCGAAGCATATTTTCCTTTTTCGTACGAGATTTAATTTTTTTTTAAAATTTAGGCTAGCTCACCTTGATTAACTACGACGATATCAAGTGGAGACAAACTGGAGTAGTACATGTTGATGAAAGGTCGCTTATTTTACGGAAAAATGAAGCGCACCTACTTAAGATCCATTGAAAAAAAATACTTCAGTATCAACTTGCAAAATTAATCCGTTCTAACACACATAAAGTCAGATTTGCACCCTACCTGAAAAATGCCTTCACAAAGGTTGGTCGCATTAATCAGTTCTTCTCTATCTCTGGCCTTCTGAACAACTGGCTGGAGATAGTTGAGCCACAGATATTTATGTGCCTCCAGAACCTGTTCCAATTTTCCAAACAACTTCTGTTTGTTCACTTCGACTAAAATGTGTTCACTGTGCACCTCTTCAAGTGCGGAAATGAACAAATCGGAGATCACGTGTAGTTTTTCCATGTAGAGAACTTCGCTCCTCAGAAGTTCCCAAATAGCCTCCTGATAGTCTTTCTCTTTCTTGCTCATCGACGATTCCTGGTCAGGGTTGTTGGCAATGAGGTCTTGCCAAGTTGAAACCTAAAGAGATTAGGGATAACTCTATCATTATAGAAATGATTTTTTTTAAAAAAGTCTTTGACTTTTCCAGTCTCTCCTTGTTTTGTCAGAGGTTTTCATAAGAGTTTTGAAAAAGGAGTTTTCACCCTAATAGGAGTTGTGACAAAAAACATTGGGCGCTCCTGATTTTGAAAAAAAAACGAAAAAAAAACTGACGAAACTCCTGAAGACGAACTTCTCCCCACTTTCAGTGATCCAATTTGAACAAAAATGGCTTGGATTGAAAAGAGGTGGGCTTTAAGTAGCTTTGTCAATGTGTCAAGAAATAACTTATGTCAATGTGTCAAGAAGGCCTTAAAAAGGACTAAGGGCATCCAAAATAAAATTATGAAACGGTTCATTACTAAACACATTTGTGGTCAATTGTACTCTGGCAGTTTTAGCAGCTCAGTCCAAAACAGGAAATACATGGAATTAGTCATTAATTTCACAGCAGAGTCTTTTTTTTATTTCATTTGCCACAGGTTCTACTACTTTAAACATGTGGCCAAATGGTTGCTAATGGACCATATACATCTATACTTTGTATCGTAGTTTGTTACCTTGATGAATTCCTGATGTTCGATGTCTGGTCTGTTCTGGAGAAAAGAGTCAGCCACAGGAGCAGAAGAGAAGGAAGAGGACGAGGAGTCCAGCAGGAATCGGTCCAAAGTGTCCCGCATCTTCTCCATCGTGTCCTTCTCCTTAATCACCATAGTTATGAGTACCAAATCAGTTATTATAAATGATTATAACTAGTGAAGGTCGTTTACTATAAGCAAAAGCTACTCTAACGTTTAAATCTTTAAGCAAAAGCTGCTCTAACGTTTAAGATTCAAAACTAAGAAAACTTCTTCTTTGAATTATCTTTGTGACTATTCAAATTGAGCAAAAGCAACTCTATAACGTTTGATTCAATGCCAAAAACGAAAAAATTGTAGTTCAGTCTAATCATTATAATTTGCGAAAGAGTTTATACATTAAAGATAAAAATAAATTAAAGACAAAAACGAAAAAATTGTAGTTCAGCCTAACAATTATAATTTGCGGAAGAGTTTATAACTTAGTGATAATAATTCACAACCCTTTACTAATATGGCGTGGGTTAAATTTATGTGGGCATGGAAGTGGAATTGGCAAATTTTAATGGAACCCATAACTCACACAACATAGTGGTATAGAAAGAACTTCAAAATGGAAATATCAATTATGTTGATGATAAAAATTGAGTCTGTATTTCTATGATCAGATAACTTCAAATGAATAAATTAAGGAAAAGTGCAAATCTGCAAAAAATGCTCCCCCATTTTTCCGTTGGCGATTTATCTTATAATAACTAGATGTCCCGTAAATCGATAATGTTGATGATCAAAACTGATGATAAAAGTCCACAAAAATTGGGACAAAATTTTGCTTCAAGTTTGATCAGCAGTTTTTTTAAAGAAGCTGAAACAATTTTCAGGTACGAATGTCACCGGGTCACGTGTTCCGAGTAATTGTGCCCTTTCACTTTAATTTAAAGAACAAGACAAATTGTGCGTCACAAACTATCACAGATTAAATGGAGCTGTCAGGCCAGGATTTCTTTTGTAAGACACCACAGAATTAAAACAATTTCAAAAGGCTTACCTTTTGAAATTCAGAATGCTTAGCTGCCATTAGCTCAGAATATTGCTGCAAATTTGGTAACTTTATTTTTCATCTCGCGGACGGAGTATGTTATGTGACTGAGATTTTAAAATATTGTCAAAAATGCTAATGCGCGGACCGTAAAAATATAAATGGATTGATTTTGAACGGCTCTTTGAAAGAGGAAGCCATAATCTGGTTGAAGTAAACAGACAGACGCCTTTGCTGATTGCAAATTCAGTAGACCATCCAAGTAAATGTAGAAAAAATTCTGCCCAAAGTAGTGATAAAGTTCTTTTTCTGTTTGTGGAATGGAGCGATTAAAATTTAATCAAGCTCGCTTAAGACATCAAGTTACTTAGTTATACTAATTAAATTAATAATATTAAACGAATTTTGTTCTACCAAATTTCCATTTTTTATATCTATGTTGTGACTCATAATTAATCATGTCAGGACGGGCTCAAATGAAGTGAACAAAGTGATGTTATTTTGACAATTGCTATTAATTTTTTAAAAAGATTTCTATTATTTAAATGAGGGATTTTTGATTGAAAGGTAGAATTTTTGGCGTCACGAGCTCTGCCGGTTTCTGATTAAGACCTCTTCAACCGACCATGCGCACTAAAATAACTATTGATACCTGGTGTCTTGGCAAGGAAATCAACAACACGATCATATATGCAGTTTTTTCTTTAACTCGAATGGAAATTTAAAAAGAAACGAGCGGAAAAATAAATAAAAATGAGCGGAAACTCACTTGAATCAATAAAAAGGCTGGCACGCCATCCAAAACGGAATGAAACAAAAAACATGCGGCGTTTTTTTTCTTGATAATGTAATTGACCATTTAAATCAAGGTAATTCTTCTGTAGCAATGACTAAAACAATTCAATTCAAACTGAAACTGAATAAAACTGTCAAAAAATTACAACAAGGTTGAACCACTTTAGTTGAGAAGACCTATTTAAAAAATGGCCTTCAAGTTAATCTATCACGCTTTAGCAATTCAATTCAAGCTGAAAAAAACTGTCAAAAATTTACAATAAGGCTGAAATACCTTAGTTCAAAAGATCTATTTTAAAAACAGGCTCTAAGTTAATATATCCCACTTAAAGAATACTCTAAATGGGATAGATTAACTTGAAGGCCATTTTTTAAATAAGTCTTCTCAACTAAGGTAGTTCATTTTTTATTTCAGTTTTGAAAGTATACCACTTGACGTCCATAATTGAGATATAGCCTGAATTAAGACTTTATTTACTCAATTGCAAATTAGAACCAGACTGATTGTACCAGACAGATTCGAGGTGCTTACTTTGTCTTTTGACTCTCAAAATCGAGAATATTTCAGTGCTCGACCGAAAAAGAATAGTCAAGACAGGGATTTAGGTCGAGCACAAATTCGAAACATAACTCGAGTACGGTCGAAGCATAATTCGAGCACGGTCGAAACGGACCTCGAGCACGGTCGAAAAAAATTGATTGTCCAGCGGCCATTCGGAGTCAAAAACAAAATTTTCTGACCAAAATAATTTTCAACATTTTCGACTCAAATTGCAAGCCAGTATTCCAAAAGATAGAAAATATAGCTCAAAAATAGTTCAAGTCTACACTTCATTTAGATTGCAAATAACTCTAATCATTTCATTTCGACAAAAAAGCATCATAAGATGTTACCCAAAAAGCATAAGTTGTAGCTTTGTAAGTTTGGATAACTCATTTTGTTTCAAAATCGAAACATCTCCGAATTCGATCGAGCAAGGTCGAAACATCAAATTTTGGTCAAGACAATCGAAATATACCAATTTTTGGTCAAAACTGTCAAAACATAAGGTGAGCCCTTTGACCCGGGAGGGTAGAACTCCAATGTTCTCACTGATCTAAAAGTTAAACTTTTTAGAAAAATGATTACAGGTGAAATATCTTCTTAGTTTTAAGTTCCTGTAATCTATTTTCTAAGACTCTATGAAAAAATTCTTGAAATTATTAGTTGGAAAAGAAAATTTTTCTGGAGAAAAAAGTAATCCATTCCAAAAAGGGACACTTTTCCCATGGACACTCTTTTCCCTTAAAGGATTCGAACCCCTCACCACGCAATAGGTCCTCTTTTTGGTATCCTACGATATGCATTGGGGCCACCTACCCTAAAAATTTTGAAGGCGCCTTCCGCGTCAATATATACTAATTTTGATGACTTCGCGCCAACAAACGCCTTTGGTTCAAAAATTTACCTGCGACGCAGATTATTTTGTCAAATTAGGATCTTCATGGTGTTTTAAGAGAGCTCCGAAAACCAATACGGTCGATCTTTAAAAAAGGCCATAAAAAATTTTTGAAAACTTTTGAATATCCCCCTGAACAATTCCTAGATCTGCCGCTGAAAATATGGGTTTTAACCCTTGATAATTTTTAATTTATACAAAGTACCGCAATCTTTTGATTTTTGCGATTGAAAATAAAATCAACCTATTTCAAGTACGTAAGCTCAATTACTTGATTAAATTGAGTCTCCAATAGCCCCATGCAATCACCACCCACCAGCTCAATTGACCTAACGTCCTGTTTCACCTGCGGTAACATTTAGTTTCATTGTCTTTGTTCAATCCTTCAATCCACGTTTAGAAAATGCATATTTTTGATAACAACATTGGGGAAAGATTACCGACACTGTGATAAAAAATGATATATATCATTTACTCGCGTTTTTTATTCTTTTCATCGGTTCCAAAATTGCTCACACCATAATGAAAGTTTAGACACTGAAAGGTAACGAGGGAAAAATTAAAGTTGTTTTCAGACTCTCGCAAACAAAGCCAACGGGCAGTTGGAAAAGTGCCAATGAGCTAAGGCAGATTAAAATTTTTAATTGATTTTGATGTTTTCCACTTTTCAAGTTTCAAGAAAAAAAAATATCTTCATATTTTTTTTTAAGTTTAAAACTAAGTTTCTAAGTTTAAAACTAAAACAAAATGGAATTTTTTTTAGAAAATCAGTAAAATATTTAAATCAGTTAAATTCGGTATCACTTCGAAATAAAAAAGCAGGTTCTCAAGACACTGAAATGTGTTCAAGTTGAAGACTAAATATAGATTAGAATAGTATAAAGACTAAAACAATGATTATAATCCTTTTATTTGACCTAAAATTGATGATAATTAATGGATCTTTTGAAAAATCGTACGGTATTTGCAACCAAGAAAAAACACCAAAACACACAAACGACGCTGTCAAAAGTGAACACGTGCAATTAGCAGGTAATCGATTGTGTGCTTTGTTGGAGGCTTGTTGTTTTGTGTCGAGAAAGAGAAACCGAAAAAGAAAAAAAGAAGTCTTTCGAATATCATTACTTCGAAGAAAGCAAGTTAACTAGGTTGGTGCTCTAACCTTGAATCAAAACACAAAAAATTGCTTCCTGTGCCAACTTAACAAAGTACGCAATTGCGCAATTGTTTTTAAGTGAAATAGAAAAAGCCGTTTGATAGGCACTAGTTTCGTAGACTTGAAGATTAAAATCGAAGACAAAGTGTTAATTGGGTTTGGTTAGTGGTCTTTGTACGTTGTACTTAAATACCAAAAATAACTTCCTATTGCAACCTTCTTAAGGCACTTTCTAAGGTAGGCAATTTAACACTAGTTTTGTTAGATAGTACTTATTTGGTCTTTTTTCTTGCTGAAACCTGTTTCAAGTTTTCATTTTTGCTGCTGTTCCTCTTACGTTGAAGAATCGGAACGGTGCACAATTTCATATAATGAAATTAGTTTCAAATCGCACAAAAATTGCCTCAAGAACCTCTAGGTTGCAAAATCTTCAAAGGATCTCGAGAAATTTTTTCCTTACGGTATGCAGGTCTCTTCAAATAACTTTAGCTTACTATTGTACTGAGGAAGTTTTGTTTGTAAGCTTTGTGAGCAATAGCCATCTTTAAATTAAATTTTTGAGGCTCAGGATTTTGTTTTGTGTTTTCAAAACGCTTGTTGTTGAACAAAAAATCAAGTTTTTAGACAATATAATCAACTTTATAGTGATTCTTGAAGATTTTATGCAGATTCTATACAGATTTTATACGGCCAA